TTATACACGTACACCATTTTGGAAACTGTCAGATAATTATGTGAATACTATTATAGTAATCATAACGGGAAGCCTTATAGATTTTATTTTGTGGAAAATTAATGTAAGTTTACGTAGGAATATTTTACTTTTCAAACTATATCGAAAATCCCGGACTTGGAATTATAAGGTGAAAGACGGAGTTACAAACAGATTTATTCCGATGATTAATTTTGTTCCCGTGAATACACATACGTTTAGTTTTCAATACCACTTGTTGAGACCAACGCTTTTATCATAAAAAGGAAGACAATTCTATATTCAGGTTCTTATATGCATTTCCGGTCAAACTTAAATAACGACGAGTCGTCAATATTATAATTCCACTACCGATTTAACTGGAGGGGACTTTAGGCTTACCCTCTGTCCGTCTGTCCGTCCACAAAACTGGATCCATTGATAACACAGAAAGTTATGAAACTTGAAATATGTGCAGATGGCAGTCTGTAAATTATGCACGTCTTTTTTCCTTGCTTTGTTGAAAAATTTGATTGCTATGACAACAAATAGACTTAAAATACGGCAAATACATTGTATAACACAAAACTGCATCCATACAGAACATATTTTATGAAACTTGAAATATGGATAGATAGCAGTCTGGAGATTGTGTAGGTCGTTCTATTCTTCCTATGTTGAAAAATATGGTTGATATGGCAACATATAGACTTAAAAATATAGCACAAAAAACAACAACAACAACAAAAAACAACAATATTTGTGGTAACTTAAAATGTACTAAAAGAATCATTATAAAACTTGAAATATGGGTGGATGGCAGTATGAAGATTATGCACACCATTTTAAGCTCCACTATTAGCTGTCCCAGTCTCCCGGCATCGGCGACCGCATCCAGATTAAAGTTTTAAAATTACGCAGGAAAGTCTTTTTCACTATCATTTCGTATTTACTTTAAACTTGATACGAGTTAAGATCAAATTCAGTCTGGTGTACTTGAAGGTTTTGTCCAAAGGTGTGTTGTGTCCAAGTAAGAAGACAATCCATCAAAAAAGATACATTTTTGTAATGGCCAATGCTAACAAGTTTCTGACGGCAACAATAACCGGGCTGTACATAGCAATAGCTAAAAAGTTTTCCTCGAAAAAGTCGGGCTACAAATAGAATTCGAAACAGTTTCAGTATTGAAGTAAATCTGTAAAGTAGTTTCCAAGATCCAATGCATTTCGAGATTAGACATAGGGCCCATCAACTCAAAGTGGGGGGCTTCAGTGCTGCCTCTAAAGACAATAGCTTGTTATTAGGCATAATACACTGATACAATACATGCCCACGGGCAGAATGTCGAGCCCGCTCTTCTTAATTTAAACTTGAACCTGATCAAGAAAGGTGTACATGTATGTAACATAGGCGAGATGTGGCAACACATCCTCTATACCCCAAGGTAAAATCTTGACATTGCATCATCGTAGGTGACCTTGACCTCTGACCTAGTTCAAGTGTCACGAAGTTTCATGCCTAACAAACTCAATTCATGTTATTTAAAATTCCTTCTTGCACGAAGAAGTTATGGCGTGGACAAGTTTTAACGCACGCACGCACGAAAACACTGAACAGCCATTTTGACAACTATGTCAAGTTAGTGCCAGCGGGCTCGACAAATATCCTCTGACCACTAAGCATATTACTTCAAAGCATAAGTAAGATACAGTGCGGACCAATTATTTTTGGCAAGAAAACTCTTGGCGAGAACATTTGCTCTAAGTTATTTTAAAATTCATCCATGTATATGGATGTTACACTCACAATGAATGTTTTAATTTGTTACTTAACCTTTGACCCTGACCTTTTCCAGAGACCTGAATTTTTTGCTTGACACTTCACCTCAATATGGAGAATGATTGTCCCAAGTTATATTTAAATCCAGCCAGGAGTGTAGAAGTTACGCTCTGGACACAGGTTTTGCAGAGACCCCCATCCCAAAGTATGACCTTGACCTTTTAGCGATTGACCTGGGTTTTGCGTGTGACACACCACCCAATCATGGTGAACATTTGTACCAAATCATTTTGTAATCCTTCAAAGAATCAGCAAGATGTAGACCAGACAAATCCGAACATACAAACATCACTATATGCCAAAACGGACGACCAAGTTGAGCTCCCCGCAAGCGGGCTTGACAACAAGAGCTGTCACAGAAGACAGCGAAGCTCGACTAATAAAATACTGGACGCAGTAAGGAAGACAAAACTATGAAAGAAAAATCAATTATGTTTTAAGTTATAGTAAAAAAATAACATTGTTAACAAAAATTCCAAGATAATGGGGAATAATTCTAGAAAAAGTCATGCTAGAGTTATGAACCTTGTCACACAACATGTGTGTAATGATAAGAATTATATATTTGAAGTTTGAAGTAGATACCTTAAAAAGTAAAGAAGTTAAAATATTTTGTAAAGAAAATCCTAAGTTCAGAGAGAGATAAATCTGTAAATATTGCTTCAAGAGTTATGAACATTGTCACAGAAATTGTAATTGATGATAAGGAATAAGTATTTGAAGTTTGAGGTTGATACCTTTAAAACTAAAAAGGTTATAGTAAAAAATAACATTTTTCTAGTAAAAAAATCTAAGTTTATGGGGAGATAATTCTTGCAATATTGGTGCTAGAGCTATGAACCTTGTCACATAAGATGTGGATGATGATAAGGTACATATATTTGAAGTATGAAATTGATCCCTTAAGAAATAAAGAAGTAACAGTAAAAAATATTTTTTAAGGAAAATTCTAAGTTCAAGGGGAGATAAATCTAAAAATATTGGTGCTAGTTATGAACCTTGTCACATAAGATGTGGATGATGATAAGGTACATATATTTGAAGTATGAAGTTGATCCCTTAAGAAATAAGAAGTAACAGTAAAAATAGTATTTTTTCAGGAAAATTCTAAGTTCAAGGGGAGATAAACCTGAAAATATTGGTGCTAGAGTTATGAACCTTGTCACATAAAATGTGGTTGATGATAAGGAACATACATTTAAAGTATGAAGTTTATCCTTTAAGAAATAAAGAAGTAACAGTAAAAAATAGTATTTTTTTAAGGAAAATTCTAAGTTCAAGGGGAGATAAATCTGAAAATATTGGTGCTAGAGTTATGAACCTTGTCACATAAGATGTGGTTGATGATAAGGAACATATATTTGAAGTTGATACCTTAAGAAATGACAAAGTTATAGTGAACTAGAACTATCGCTGAATGCGATTGATACCCCCACCAATGTCCTTGACAGAAGATGACTTGGAAAGGTGGTTAAGAGAATAACTTTAGTGGCATAAATACATATACATAAAAGGAAATTATCTCTGGTGAAAAAAAGACTAATTGTACAGGTATTAGTATAAATCATGTTCGAAACAGTTACAAATAACCTTTCATTTTCCCAATGTACTAGACATTTTCTAAGTCAATTTTTGACCTTCAAGTGTGGCCTTGACCTTAAGCTGGCACAAGGGTAAGATGGGTTCTGCACATTGCCCAGTTGGGGTGAACATTTGAGTAAAGTTTGAAGAAAATCCTTCTATTAGTATAGAATTTATAGAGCGGACATAACATATTGTCTAGTATTGATTGTATGTAAATTTAGACTTTAAAAGGGGCATAACTTTGTCAAAATGCAATACAGAGTTATGAAACTTAACCTGCATATCTTATTTGTGACACCTCATATATCTTTTAAGTTTCAAGCAAATACCTGTGCTAGTTTCAGAAATATTCAAGTACATGTTAAAATTTAAGAACATTTTCTAAGTCAATTTTTGACCTTCAAGTGTGACCTTGACAATTAGCCAGCACAAAGGTAACATGGATTCTGCACATAAACTTGTTGAGGTGATCATTTGAGTAAAGTTTGAAGAAAATTCTTCCATTAGCATAGGATTTATAGAGCGGAAACGACACATTGTCTAATATTTGATTAATGTAAATTTGAAGACTTAAAAAGGGGCATAACTTTGTTAAAATGCAATACAGAGTTATGAAACTTGACCTGCATATCTTAATTGTGACACTTCATATAGATTTTAAGTTTCAAGCAAATACCTTTTCTAGTTTCAAAAATATTCAAATACATGATAAAATTTAAGAACATTTTCTAAGTTTATTTTTGACCTTCAAATGTGACCTTGACCCTAAGCCAGCAAAAGGGTAACATGGGTTCTGCACATAACCTTGTTGAGGTGAACATTTGAGCCAAGATTGAAAAAATCTTTCAATTAGTGTAGGACTTACAGAGCGGACACGACATACTGTCTAATATTTCATTGTTTGATATTTGACCGTCAAATGTGACCTTGACCTTGAGCTGACACATGGGCAACATGAGTTCTGCACATCCCCTTGTTGAGGTGAACATTTGAGCCAAGTTTGAAGAAAATCTTTCAATTAGTGTAGGAGTTACAGAGCGGACACGACATACTGTCTAATATTTAATTTTTTTGATATTTGACCTTCAAGTGAATTGTGACCTTGACCTTGAGCTGACACATGGGTTCTGCACATCTCCTTGTTGAGGTGAACATTTAAGCCAAGTTTGAAGAAAATCTTTCAATAAGTGTAGGAGTTACAGAGCGGACACGACATACTGTCTAATATTTGATTGTCTGATATTTGACCTACAATTGTGACCTTGACCTTGAGCTGACACATGGGCAACATGGGTTCTGCACATCCCCTTGTTGAGGTGAACATTTGAGCCAAGTTTGAAGAAAATCCTTCAATTGGTATAGGATTTATAGAGCGGACACGAAAATGGAGACGGACCGAGCGACGGACGGACGCGACAAAGCGAATCCATTATAGCCCCCCCACATCTTGTGCTGGGGGTATAAAAATATTTTACTGCATCAAAAGTTTAATCTGAAATCTGGATGTGGACGCCGGGGCGAGTAGGACAGCTCTCCATATACTTCGTATAGTCGAGCTAAAAATGAAACAAACATACTCATAAATATTTGAATAATTATATTTTATACAGAATGACATATAGCAATTGAAACAATACAAATAATACAGAACTATGGCAACAAATGTTAATATATTCTCAACTTTATCATGAATTAACTATCAAATGTAAAATCAATTATTCATATTCAAAAGTCAATCCCAATATAAACAAACACCAATAAATAACCCACATTGTAATTATCTAACATGATCATTCTCAAAGAGACAAACAGTCATAAATCACAAAACAAAAAATAATCTACAAATGTTTCCATTAAAACTAATGCCCTCACTTGATTTGCCTGTCACAGTGATGTATTTACAAAAACATGATTATTTTCCAGTTATATTTTGTATTTTTATAATTATATATACAGTTGACTCTCAATAAGTCAAAATCGCTTTACTCAAAATTCCGCGTAAGTCGAAGTATTTCTAAAGTCCCGTCAAATTTCCTTCTTTATCTTTGTATTTTAACTCCGCTTAGGTCAAATTTTGACTTATCGATACTCCTGTTTAGTCGAAAAGAAAATTTGGTCCCGTCAATTAAAGTCCACATATTTTCATCTCAATAAGTCGAATTATAAAAACAGCCGACTGATCAAAGGTCGGCAACATCAAGGTGAGATGTTCTCCTTGTGATTCACACGTTCCATAGAAATTTTATTTGCCGGTCATCATGTATTATTAACACGTCGTAAAAGTTGCTTTAATCGGTTTCAGGACTTAATTGGTTTTCACAGTTAGATAACAAAATTAAGACTCGTGCCAGTCTGACAGGTGTTAGTAAAAATCAAGAGGGCCATGATGGCCCTGAGGTCGCTCACCTGTATATAGGCCCCCCCACTCCCGGGCCAATTTTTACCCAAGGGCTTTTATTTGTTTATTTGAACAGACTTGGTAGACACCCATAAGAAGATGTTTCATGCTAAACATCTAAGTTCTAGCTCATTGGCTTTTTTAAAAGAAGATTTTTAAAGTTTTTACTATACACATATAGTTAAAAACAATGACACCCCTGGGGCAGGGCCAGTTTTGACCCCCGGGCGTTTATTTTAACAAACTTTGTAGATATTTACTTAAAGATGTTTCATACTTAATATCTAAACTCTAGCTATTTGGGTTTTTCCAAAGAAGATTTTTAAGTTTTTACTATATGCTTATAGGGAAAATCAATGACCCCCGGGGCGGGGCCAATTTTGACACCAGGGCTTTAATTTGAACAAACTTGGTAGACACTCATTAGAAGATGTTTCATGCTAAATATCTTAGCTCTAGCTCTTTGGGTTCTTTAAAAGAAGATTTTTTAAGTTTTTACTATATGCATATAGGGAAAATCTATGACCCCCTGGGGCGGGGTCAATTTTGACCCCAGGGCTTTTATTTAAACAAACTTGGTAGACATTCACTAGAAGATATTTCATGCCAAATATCTAAGCTCTAGCTCTTTGGGTTCTTTAAAAGAAGATTTTTTAAGTTTTAACTATATGCATATAGGGAAAATCAATGACCCCCGGGGCGGGGCCAATTTTGACCCCAGGGCTTTAATTTGAACAAACTTGGTAGACACTCACTAGAAGATGTTTCATGCTTAATATCTTAGCTCTAGCTCTTTTGGTTCTTTAAAAGAAGATTTTTAAGTTTTTACTATATGCATATAGGGAAAATCAATGACCCCCAAGGGCGGGGCCAATTTTGATCCCAGGGCTTTTATTTGAACAAACTTGGTAGACATTCACTAGAAGATGTTTCATGCCAAGTATCTAAGCTCTAGCTCTTACGGTTCTTTAAAAGAAGATTTTTTAAGTTTTTACTATATGCATATAGGGAAAATCTATGACCCCCAGGGGCGGGGCCAATTTTGACCACAGGGCTTTTATTTGAAAAAACTTGGTAGACACCCATTTGAACATGTTTCATGCTAAATATCTTAGCTCTAGCTCTTTGGGTTGTTTAAAAGAAGATTTTTTAAATTTTTACTATATGCATATAGGAAAAATCAATGACCCCCCCGGGCGGGGCCAATTTTGACCCCAGGGCTTTTATTTGAACAAACTTGGTAGACACTCACTAGAAGATGTTTCATGCCAAATATCTAAGCTCTAGCTCTTATGGTTTTTTAAAAGAAGATATTTAAAGTTTTTTCTTTTGGTTGCCATGGCAACCAGAGTTCTGCATGGAATTAAATTCTTTGAACAATTTTTAAAGGTGACCACCAAAGGAACATTCCTGTGAAGTTTGGATGAAATTGGCTCAGTGGTTTATGAGGAGATGTCATTTAAAGCAAAAGTTTACGGACGGACGGACGACGGACGAAAAGCGATCACAAAAGCTCACCCTGTCACTTTGTGACAGGTGAGCTAAAAACAGCCTAGGTATTGATGTGTGTTATCAACGTAAATGACATTTGTATAATTAATGTTCAGTCATATTGCATACATTAATATTTGCTTCCGGCTACTTTCGTTTTTCGGCCGATGATCAATTCACTTCAAATATTAGATAAATTGTTGTTGAAATAAAATTGTTATTGTGCTTTTATTGTAATGATATGTAATGAATGTTTATTATAAACATGTGCTTTACTGATGAATACTGACAAACTTGCATTTATGTCATTGCTACGAATGTTTGTGTTTATGTTTCACTATTAATATACATGTATTAAATTATATTTTTTTGTTCATAATTTGAAGTTGAAAGTGATTTACCGTCATTTCAACGGTTAAATATTGTAGCATTGCCGCTATCAATAATAATAAACCTACTTCTTTGTACATTCAATCAGGCACATGTATATACATGTACAAATGTCAACGTAATGGCGGCAGATCCACCTTACTCGAATTCCGTTTCTCTCGAAGTAAAATGCCCAGTCCCTTGGATTTCGAGTTACCGAGGGTCAACTGTATATATCTAATTACAATCACACTATGAATTTATCATAACATAGCTGATCATGTTGCTTGCAAATAAATGTTTTGGCTGGCTGATTTCAGGACTGTGCAAGTAAAACTATTTCAGCCATTATGTTTTGTCAAAATACCATATAATGATTCAGTGATTGTCATACACAAAGGCATGCACATGAACACAAAATATGTACAAGAACTACATTCAATTTTCATTGACTGGTGAGCAAGTGTTGGTTTATAGTTTTTAAAAAACATAAATTAAACATTACATACATGCATACTTGTACAGAAAACATTTGGTTAATGAAAGTGTTTAACAATATAATGTCTATTCAGCCTTCACAACAAATCAAGATAGTATACCTGAACATTAAAGAAACAGGAAGCTTAAGACTTGGAAATAATATATATGAGCCGCGTCACGACAAAACCAACACAATGGGTTTGCGACCAGCATGGATCCAGACCAGCCTGCGCATCCGCGCAGTCTGATCAGGATCCATGCTGTTCGCTTACAAACCCTATTACAAGTAGAGAAACTGATAGCGAACAGCATGGATCCTGATCAGACTGCGCAGAGGTGCAGGCTGGTCTGGATCCATGCTGGTTGACCCATTATGTTGGTTTTGTCATGACGCGGCTCATATAAGACCCCATCAATAAGATTGCGAGAATGAAGAAAAACATTTACACCTAACAATACACAAGCATCGTATTTTACAAAAAGTACTATAATAATCCCAACAACATTTCTAGTAAATCTATATCACAGAATAATCTATAATGAACACATATACAATATCCGTTTATTCTGTCCCACATCATTCAATTAAACTAAAATTGCCACTGCTGTAGCCATTTATCCCTGCAGACAGCTAGACAACACATTTGACTCCCCTCAGTGTTTTATAGTTAAGCAAGACCCTGGTCCAGTAGATATAGAAGGAATGTAGAAAATGGAAAGATAACATTCAAAATCCATGCCATATTTATAATATTTAAAGTTCATTATGGCAGTAATTAGTTAAAATCCCTGTCAGAGTTATGGTCCCTGGATAAAGACAGTTATGTACTTGAGATACAAGTGAATACCTTCAATACTTGTAAAGATCAACCTTGCACTAAGCATTCTAACAAAGGACTATAATTCAGTCTAAATCCATGCTAGAGTTGTTATGGTTCTTTGTTGATAAACCAAAATAATGATCAAAGGGCATGTGTGATGTTTCAAATGAACAGCCCCAGTAGTTATTTAGGATATTCATGTTGCATGCTTAACCTTAATCAGAAATTCAGTCAAAATCCATGTCAGAGTTATGGTTCTTGTATAATAACACAAACTTATGACACAAAAGGAAACAGTGAAGTTTCAAGTAAATATCTTTGTGGCTGATGAGATATGAAAATGCTCATTTACATGCAAACGAAACTTTAACCAATGTCTTCCTGGCACATGGTTATGTAGGATAGCCCCAATATTCTTTGAAAGTCCAGCTAACAATAATGAGAGTGCAATAACTATTTTGAGCAAAGCTTTGGTTCATGGGCGATCAAACATAATGGATAAATTAATATTTCTAAACACAGCACTCCTCAACGAAATCTATTTATCTTGTATGAAATCATCTAGTCTTTTAGTTATGCAAAGAAATATACTATGATAATTTACAAAGAGCAATAACTCAAAATATAGAAAAGTCTTCAAGTTAAAGCCAAGAAACTTATAAAAAAACGACAACTAAACAACCATAGGAACAAGTAGATACCAGTTTACCACACTCAAAATGTTTTTTTTGTGCAAGGATATGATACATCCTTTATAAAATATCACAAGAATAAAATTTAAAGATCAAAAGTTTTATATATGCAGCACAAATATGTTTTTCAATGTTAATCTTTTCCTGCAAACAGGACAGCAGTGTTGATTTTTTATTGAACTTTCCACACATGGCTGGCAGTAAACATGGCCACATGTTGTTGTGACCAACTTTCTCTTGCCCTTTTTAATCTGAAATAGTAAAACAAGCAGAAGTTATGTATCATTATGTTCTGGTGTTAATGAGGACACAATATACATACTCATCTAATACATTACTCTAATATGACAATAAATCATTTATTTGAAAGAACAAAGTACAATGTATTAGTATCCTTATGACAACAAGAGCCATGTCAACATGGCCATCCCCCGCCGAATGTGTTTGCTCATTGGAAGAATGTATATGTAGTAGAGCAGAATAATTCCATTTTAAGAGGTCTTTTGGTAATGAAAACTGATGGCTATAGTGATTACAGATTTGAAACCTATGTGAATACTGATGGCTGAAAATAACAAAGGGCAATTACTGAAAAATAATGCAGGGTAGGTTATCATTCTTGTGTGCTGCATCCCTCCTCAGTAAAATCTATCAACCTATGAAGTTTCAAGTTGATACCTCAAATACTTTTTGAGAAAAAATTGAATTGAAAAATTAAGTATGAAAAAGAACAAAGGGCAATAACTCAAAAATTATAAAAGGTAGAGTTATCATTATTGTGCAGTGCACACCTCCTGAGTGAGATCTATGCACCTATGAAGTTTCATTTTGATATCTCAAAGGCTTTTTGAGTTATGCTCTGGACAAAAATTAATTTTGAAAAATAACAAAGGGCAATAACTCAAAAATAATGCAGGATAGAGTTATCATTCTTAAGCACTGCACTCCTCCTCAATGAGATCCATCCACCTTTGAAGTTTCAAGTTGATACCTCAAATACTTTTTGAGACTAGAGGATGCTTTTGTAAAAAAGCGCATGTCTCCCCCACTGCTGAGAATAACTGTGAATGGAAACAGGAATGGAAATGGAGATAAGATAATGTAAATACCCGGTAGTCACTTCAATGAAGGCTGTCTATGGATGGTTTCTATTGTTAAGGTTGTATGAGAAGATGCTTCCTTAAACTGTTTGTTTTTAAACCAGGTATTCAATTTTGAAAATCCTGGTTATTCAATCAGCGTATGGCAGGCGGGCGTCAAAACGAAATTGCACTTGATGGTCATATCATATATAGTTTCACAAATGAAATTAAATGAAATTGTGGTCTGCTCCATAATTCTTCAAACCTTTAAAGGATTTTGATGATACTTGAAACAAACGTTCAAATATTGTCAGATTTTTTTTTACACTATTGAAAGACAACTCAAATTACAATGTATGTAAAATCATGATAACTGTAGTGTGTGGGATGACTCCACTCGTTTTTCACAATGAAGCCTTTTCTCTGGTAGATACTTTGAAAAAAATTCACCACATCCAGAGAACGTGTAGAGTACATGTTTCGTATGGCTGGTTCCAAGGTCAAGGTCTACTTGACACTTGAATGTCATATCATATATAGTTTCACAAACGAAAATTAAAGGAAATTGTGTCTGCTCCATAACTCTTCAACCCTTTGAAGGATTTTGATGATACTTGAAACAAACGTTCATATTGTCAGATTTTTACAACTATTGAAAGACAACTCAAATTTCAATGTATGTCAAACTCATGATAACTGTAGTGTGTTGGGATGAACTCCACTCGTTTTCACAATCAGCCTCTCTGGTAGATATGGTCAATAAGTGTGTTGTGTGTGCTGTAGTAGCCTTGTTTATTATAATTTGTTTAAAGCGATGTCGTAACATAGTGTGGGTCAATGGATGTTCTAAATATTGAATGAGGTCAATGTTGAAGTCTCCTAGTAACTATGCAGTTTTTCTGTTGGTGAATTTTTTCCAAGACAAGGGTAAGCTTTTTGAAGGAACAAGTTAATCGGCAATGACGGAGGTTTATATACAAGGTTTGATTAATAAGACCAATCATCCTATGAAGTTTGAGGGTTGTAGGTCAAAAGGAACTCTAGTTATCATCCGGAAATGAGAAATTGACCAACGGTCACTGTGACCTTGACCTTTGACCTACTGACCCCAAAAACAATAGGGATCATCTGCTCTATAAGACCAAATCATCCTATGAAGTTTGAGGGCTGTGAGGTCAAAAGGAACTCTAAGTTATCATCCGGAAACGAGAAATTGACCTCACTGTGACCTTGACCTTTGAACTACTGACCCCAAAAACAATAGGGATCATCTGCTCAATAAGACCAATCATCCTATGAAGTTTGAGGTCTGTAGGTCTAAAGGAACTCTAGTTATCATCCGGAAACGAGAAAAATTGACCAACGGTCAGTGTGACCTTGACCTTTGACCTACTGACCCCAAAAATAATAGGGATCATCAGCTCTATAAGACCAAATCATCCTATGAAGTTTGAGGGCTGTAGGTCAAAAGGAACTCTAGTTATCATCCGGAAACGAGAATTTGACCAACGGTCACTGTGACCTTGACCTTTGAACTACTGACCCCCAAAAACAATAGGGATCATCTGCTCAATAAGACCATTCATCCTATGAAGTTTGAGAGCTGTAGGTCAAAAGGAACTCTAGTTATCGTCCGGAAACGAAGAATGGACGGACGGACTGACGGACGGACGGACTGACGGACGGACAGCGCAAAAACAATATGTTTCTCCCCCAGTTTGAGGGTTGTAAGGTCAAAAAGGAACTCTAGTTATCAATCCGGGAAATGAGAAATTGACCAACGGTCACTGTGACCTTGACCTTTGACCTACTGACCCAAAAACAATAGGGATCATCTGCTCTATAAGACCAATCATCCTATGAAGTTTGAGGGCTGGTAGGTCAAAAAGGAACTCTAGTTATCATCCCGGAAACGAGAAATTGACCAACGGTCACTGTGACCTTGACCTTTGAACTACTGACCCCAAAACAATAGGGATCATCTGCTCAATAAGACCAATCATCCTATGAAGTTTGAGGTCTGTAGGTCTAAAGGAACTCTAGTTATCATCCGGAAACGAGAAATTGACCAACGGTCGCAGTGTGACCTTGTATAAACCTTTGACCTACTGACCCCCAAAAACAATAGGGATCATCAGCTCTATAAGACCAATCATCCTAATGAAAGTTTGAGGGTGTAGGTCAAAAGGAACTCTAGTTATCGTCCGGAAACGAAGAATGGACGGACGGACTGACGGACGGACGGACTGACGGACGGACAGGGCAAAAACAATATGTCTCCCCCCGAGGTGGGGGAGACATAATAAGCTCTGGACAAAATAGCATAAAAAAACAAAGGGCAATAACTCAAAAAATGTAAAGGGAAGAGTTATCATTCTTGCGCACAAACATTCCTCCTCAATAAGATACTATCCAACCTATGACATTTCCATGTTGATATCTCAAACACTTTTTTGAGTTATGCTCCACTCAGGTGAAAAAAAATTAGGTATGAAAAATAACAAAGGGCAATAACTCAAAAATTATGAAAGGTAGAGTTATCATTCTTGTGCACTGCACCTAAATGAAGTTTCATGTTAATATCTCATAGGCTTTTGGAGTTATGCTCTTGGACAAAAATCAATTTTGAAAAATAACAAAGGGCAATAACTCAAAAAATCATGCAAGGTAGAGTTATCAAATTCTTGTGCACTGCACTCCTCCTCAAATGAGGTCTATCCACCTATGAAGTTTCAAGTTGATAACTCAAATACTTTTAGAGATATGCTCTGGACAAAAATGTCGGACGGAAGGACGAACGGAAGGTCGGACGGACGGACGGAAGGTCGGACGGACGGACGGAGACTATTTCTATATCCTCCGCCGAAATTTTTCGGCGAGGGATAATAACAGGAGTTGTCCATAATACAGCATACTTGACTATCCTCAATGCTGAACAGTAAGGGGCATAACTCTTTAAAAATATAATTCAGAGTTATGGGACCTGTGCCCATTTTAGTAATGTTGACGATTACCTACTTGCATTAAAAAAAATTACCCCCAAAAATGTAATGCCAACACAGAGGTGGCAACAACTGCTCTGAGACTCCCTTTTTTTGAAGAGTCGAGCTAAATATGCGTGACCATTTTTCCTTTATATATTTTTTTTTCAATCTTTGGCAACTTTAAACCTATAGCTCTATTTCAGGTTACATGCAGACTTATAATATTGTCAGATGTTTGTTTGTTTGATTGGGTTTTACGTTACACTGACACAGTATAGGTCATTTGGCGACGTTCCAGCTTTACTGGTGGAGGAAGACCTCAGGTGCCCTTACGTGCATTATTTCAGGCACAAACGGGCACCTAAGTAGAACCACCGATGTTCCGTAAGCTAGCTGGATAGCTTCCTCACATGAAAGAAACTAAAGTCCCTGTAGGAATTCAAACCCACAGTGGTGAGGGGCAAGTGGTTTGAAGTCAATGACCTTAACCACTTGGCCACGGACGCCCCTTTGTCAGATGCAGTTGACACAAGAAGTTTCTCAGTATGTAGACAATAAACAGACAGTGGCGGTTTCAATAAATTTCACTGACAGACTATTATAAATAGTATTATAAATTGATCAGTCCATGTTAGCAGATGTAAACTATTGTATTTTGTAAGTTATTTGATACCTATTTTACTATCATATTTACCATATTGGTACAGAAATTTCTGATTCATTTTCACTATGTTTTCTTTGAAATACCGCTTTCTGATATAACAATATAAATTCTGCGTTCCCCTGAACAATCCTATAAGCATTGTTTACTGTATTTCATTTGCATATAATTGTGCTTAGCACAATAAACCTCTACTTCACATTACACACTATTCAATGTTTGACTGGTTGTAGGTCACACCAACTCTGTAATAGCCATATGGAGGGTTTACTGGTGGAGGAAGACCTCAAGTGCTCATGTATTGTTTCAGTCATGAACTTGAATAGAACCACCAACATACTGTAAGTTACCTGAATAACTTCAACACATGAAAAAAATTTATATTTCCTTCTATAGGCTTCAAACCTTGAGTGCCCAGCGATGCACGAAGTTGTTGTCAGAGATGACAAACACCCCTGGGAGACAAATATTAAAGTCAAGACAAAAAGATATAAAAATTGACAGTTCTTCAAGATAAAATGAAAATTAAAGTCAATTAAATGTTTAACTTACTGTTTTATCATCATCTAAACAAACCGGACATGTTATTTTGATAGGATCTGGTGATTTGATGTTACAACTACTGGAAGATGGTACAGCGTTGGGTAAATCAAATGGTACAGGTGGTAAATCATTACTGTCATCATCATCAATCTCTAGAGGACGAGGTAAACTTCTATGACCTCTTCTACGTGCTGGTGGAGAAGCTAAATAAATGACAGACTAAGATTTCATACACTGTTCACAAAGAAAAAAGCTTTATTAGGCTAAATGATCTTAATTTTGTTTTTTATTACATTATTTATACAACTATTAAGTGAGCCAAAGAATATTGGGGCTAATCCCTTGAAAATTCATGTATATTTGAATTATTCAACATGCTGATTTAGTCAAAAGTCTATGATGATAAGTGTTCTTTTGTGCAATCTAAATTTAAATCTAGATTTGAATCTAATCTCCACAGAAAAATGAAAAGTTTCACACAATTTAAGCAGAATTAAATTAAATAATTTAACCTTGACTGTCAAGGTAATTTAAAGGTCTATCATTTCCTGACTCAACAATTAAACTTTACTCAGTATTAACAGAAAGTGAAAACCTACCATTTGGAGTCCCAATTATCTGAAATAATACAGATACATTTTATATACATTTCTAACAGCTTAATCTAAAACTTACAAACAATAAATAATTACATACAATGCAAGGTGGCTTTTAAATCCAACTCACCTTGAATGGACAAAAAATAGTACATGCACAATTATCAATAATTTCAACTTTAATTAATGCTGAATTTCAAAACTTTCTCATTAACTTTATTTATTGTAATCAAGCTAAAAATTCTCGCTGCAAAGCAAACCTTTTTTGTAACTGCTTCTTTTTTTGCATTAAATCTGAGAAGGCATTACATAGACTTATTACAAAGATGCCATCACTAGTACCAAATGGTGGTAATTTATGTTATTATGATGATGATACTTAATGTAATTTAAATCTTTAACCATAGTATTCTAATTCTTTTAATCTATCAATGTACAAAATGACATCACTATCATATATAAGTAGCATCAAAAATCATAAGATATAAGGCCTAAAATAAAATTATGTTTGTTTCTAAAACTAAAACTAAAACCCCGCGACTCGGAAAATTTTATTTCAGTTTCAGGTCTGAAAATATTTTTTTCTGTTCTTATCTGGGTACCAAATTAAAATCAATATAAAATGTTTTGAGTACGAAAGGGTTCCTTCAATTTTCCCTTTCTCTTACTTTCCTTAGCGAAAAACTTGACTCGCATGTAAGTATACATGCATGTTATTATCATGGAATTGATTTCAATGTGACAAAATTGTCTATCCTCTACCTATTTCAAAATGGTTTGCGAAAACTCATTTCATTGGTCAGTAATATTGGAAAACCAATGAAACGGGGCATAACAAATTACTGCGAGTGCTGAAGGTGGTGCATGACATGTTGGGATGTAAATAAACATCAATTAAAAATTGATTAATTTTGATTAGGAGCAATTCTGAAAATATACAGAGATGGGGGATAATTTAGTTGTAGGTCTTATTCACGATCTTGTGTCACATATTATTGCTTTTCGAAGCATATTGCCAATTAATGTCGATACATTTAAAATTTTTGTTTACTAATATTATTACAACTGACCCTATAATTGTAATTGTACTTCGTGACAAGATATTGTGCTATTTTCGTGTCTGGGCAATATCTTGCCTCTAAAAGCGAGATTCTGCCCCAGAACAAAAATATCTCAGAATCTAGCTGTGGCATGTCAATAAATTTTGACTACAACTGACCGAACAGGTAACTGAGTTTTATTAAACCATGTAGGTCACAAGATGGTATATTATGTGATTATACTTTAAAAGAATTTGAAAATAATAGAATAATTCTTGTTATGCATGCAAATTGTATTTTCATTTCTACTGTAGTGTAAATTCCTAAGATACACTTCTGTTGTCCCAGGTATATTTTATAAATTGTTTAATTTGTAATTTTTGAATTTTAGTGCAACCCCACTTTGGTTGCAGGTTGTTCCAAAAAAAGCCCGAAATTTTTACTTGATGCATAATGATACATGTGCATAAAGATTAATAACTGTAAATGATTCAAATGGAATGTTCAAATTTATAATGCTTGATGGAAAGAAATACTAGTTTGCCTTTTAAATATAATTGCAATAAGTAAGGTTATTTTATTAAAGACGTGAAACAGTTCTGTGTCTGGAATACTCATCAATAATCACAACAACTCACCATGCAGGTGTTAAACCTGAAGAGGCTTTAGATATAAACATTAAAAAGATATCGGTGCATAGTAAATAAAAGCAAGTCAAAAGTTTCCTTAAGCACAAAAGTGGTATACATTTACCTTTTATTGTGGGAAACAACTACACAATTTTCAATAAAGAGAACATAAAAAATTGAGAAAAAAAAATTTACCTACCTACCCACAACCTAATTTTGCATGGGTCAGGAAGGGGAAACAAACATAATTTTATTTTTTGCCTAATGATTTAACCTTTTATCTTCACAAAGAAATGTCAACATATGCAGAAATAACAATATTAGGCATTTCTTGATAACAATATTAAATTCTATCATAAAACCTTCAGTTTTATTTGTATTGTAGATATTTATTACTTATCTTAAAATAATGACATATATTTCAAAATTTCGACTTATTAAGTTTTTGTTCATATTCTCATTCTCAGGTGAGCAGCTCTTAAGCTGGTTAAAAATATCACGATTAAAACCAAAATGCTCTTTCTAAAGTCAGACCTGAACTTCACACATTTGAGAAAAATATTAGTGGAAAGCCGGGTTACAAAAAATTATTAAGCAGTATACAAGTATTTTGAATACATACCACTACAGAGTTATCATTTGCTCCATGTAATTCTGTATCATTATGAGATCTCTGACTTGATGTTAGATCAACAAACTCATCATCTAATGTTGAGGTCAGATCTATACAACCTGCAATAAATGTCTGATCTATACAACCTGCAACAAATGTCTGATCTATACAGTCTGTAACAAATGTATGATCTATACAACCTGCAAGAAATGTCTGATCTATACAACCTGTAACAAATGTCTGATCTATACAACCTGCAACAAATGTCTGATCCATACAGTCTGTAACAAATGTATGATCTATACAACCTGCAACAAATGTATGATCTATACAACCTGCAACAAATGTCTGATGTATACAGCCTGTAACAAATGTCTGATCTATACAACCTGCAATAAATGTCTGATCTATACAACCTGCAACAAATGTATGATCTATACAACCTGCAACAAATGTCTGATCTATACAACCTGCAACAAATGTATGATCTATACAGCCTGTAACAAATGTATGATCTATACAACCTGTAACAAATGTCTGAACTATACAACCTGCAACAAATGTATGATCTATACAGCCTGTAACAAATAACTGAACTATACAACCTGCACCGAATGTCTGATCTATACAACCTGCAACAAATGTATGATCTATACAACCTGCAAGAAATGTTTGATCTATACAACCTGGAACAAATGTATGATCTATACAGCCTGTAACAAATAACTAAACTATACAACCTGCAATGAATGTCTGATCTATACAACCTGCAACAAATATATGATCTATACAGCCTGTAACAAATAACTGAACTATACAACCTGCAACAAATGTATGATCTATACAGCCTGTAACAAATAACTGATCTATACAACCTGCAACGAATGTCTGATCTATACAGCCTGTAACAAATAACTGAACTATACAACCTGCAACGAATGTCTGATTTATACAACCTGCAACAAATGTATGATCTATACAACCTGCAACAAATGTCTGATCTATACAACCTGCAACAAATGTCTGATGTATACAGCCTGTAACAAATAACTGAACTATACAACCTGCAACGAATGTCTGATCTATACAACCTGCAACAAATGTATGATCTATACAACCTGCAACAAATGTCTGATCTATACAACCTGCAACAAATGTATGATCTATACAGCCTGTAACAAATGTATGATCTATACAACCTGCAACGAATGTCTGATCTATACAACCTGTAACAAATGTATTATCTATACCAGCCTGTAACAAGTAACTGATCTATACAACCTGCAACAAATGTATGATCTATACAACCTGCAACAAATAACTGAACTATACAGCCTGCAACGAATGTCTGATCTATACAACCTGCAACAAATGTATGATCTATACAGCCTGTAACAAATAACTGAACTATACAACCTGCAACAAATGTATGATCTATACAGCCTGTAACAAATAACTGATCTATACAACCTGTAACAAACACCTGATCTATACAACCTGCAACAAATGTATGATGTATACAGCCTGTAACAAATAACTGATCTATACAACCTGTAACAAACACCTGATCTATACAACATGCAACAAATGTATGATCTATACAGCCTGTAACAAATAACTGAACTATACAACCTGCAACGAATGTCTGATCTATACAACCTGCAACAAATGTATGATCTATACAGCCTGTAACAAATAACTGAACTATACAGCCTGTAACAAATAACTGATCTATACAACCTGTAACAAACACCTGATCTATACAGCCTGTAACAAATGTATGATCTATACAGCCTGTAACAAATAACTGATCTATACAACCTGTAACAAATGTCTGATCTATACAACCTGCAACAAATGTATGATCTATACAGCCTGTAACAAATGTCTGATCTATACAACCTGCAACGAATGTCTGATCTATACAACCTGCAACAAATGTATGATCTATACAACCTGCAACAAATGTCTGATCTATACAACCTGCAATGAATGTCTGATCTATACAGCCTGTAACAAATAACTGAACTATACAACCTGCAACGAATGTCTGATTTATACAACCTGCAACAAATGTATGATCTATACAGCCTGTAACAAATAACTGAACTATACAACCTGCAACGAATGTCTGATCTATACAGCCTGTAACAAATAACTGAACTATACAACCTGCAAGAATGTCTGATCTATACAACCTGCAACAAATGTCTGATCTATACAGCCTGTAACAAATAACTGAACTATACAACCTGCAACAAATGTCTGATTTATACAACCTGCAACAAATGTCTGATCTATACAGCCTGTAACAAATAACTGAACTATACAACCTGCAACGAATGTCTGATTTATACAACCTGCAACAAATGTCTGATCTATACAGCCTGTAACAAATAACTGAACTATACAACCTGCAACGAATGTCTGATTTATACAACCTGCAACAAATGTATGATCTATACAGCCTGTAACAAATAACTGAACTATACAACCTGCAACAAATGTCTGATTTATACAACCTGCAACGAATGTCTGAACTATACAACCTGCAACGAATTCTTATCTATACAACATATAACAAACACCTGATCTATACAATCTTGAACAATGTCAGACCAGTGCCCCTGATGGTAAAAAGGGTCGTGCATAAATTCAAACTGCTTAGTCATTTAAAACAATGGTTTATATTTTAAAATTTGCCAGGTAGTATGTTTGTTATTTTAGGTTTCCAATTGATTTTTACATAAATCATGATGCCAATTTATCCGTGGAATTTCAAGAGCTATGAAATGGCATGTAAATTTTAATGACAAGGCATGTAAAAGCAAATATGAGTAAGATTTCCCCATTTTCATTGAAATAATCTACAAATTTACACCAACATTTTCTTCCTAAGTGATAACAGCTAGGACAACAGATCTTTGAAGAAGTTAAATAACTTTAAATGTTTTACTTTCATCGCCAACATGATCTTCTACAACAATTGGTTCTTGCATATCTGTATTTGATCCTGCAGCTGACCTCAATCTACGTCGGTTTCTGATTCCAGACACTCTTCCTCTACTTCCTGAAGATCTTCGTCTTGACTGAAAATACATAAACATTATATAACAAACTGTGTTTATTTACCATTTTAAATTAATAACAGTTCATAGTCTCTACCTTTTCAGGAAGAAAATTTGCGTCACATTTTCTACCAAGCCAGTGACTTTGCCCCCTACAAACTTTATTTCCAGGTTTTAATGATTGGGAACATTTTTTTTGTCACCTCCAAATACAAAATGATAAAATTGTAAGTGATTGTTGAACCTATTTCAAAAATAGATGGCAAATACTTTATTATCAAAACATTGTATAAGAATGGAAAAAAAGTATAGCTCTTTATCATTTTTTTCATAAATTTTTCTAATATTTTTACTTGTCTGGTAAAGTGTATACAGTACCCAATATTTTAGGCAATACCTACTTTTGCCAAAACTGGAGGGTAAAATACAGTAGAACAGTTAAGTCAGTTAGAAAATGTGCCTATAACAACACAGAATCGGTTAGCAATTTAAACACAATGATACACGCAGTTACTGGAAATGAATAAATTTCAGATATTCAAACAATAATTGTCGATTTAAGAGGGATGGCAATTATAACAGGAGAACTTACTTAATGAAAAGACATCCAATTAAGGTAGATTATGACTGCTTCATAGAAAACATGCTTTGGAAATTTCATTGGGTCATTTGTGAAATTACTGCATCAAAAATGCAGAATTGCTGAAACAATGCTATTAAAATTACTTATAATGTCAGCCATGACACTCGGGAAGTATGCATACTAACTGTAAATCGCACCTACTGTTTAGAATAATTATAAATCAGGTCTAGGATTTCATGATATTTACGGACAGTCTGTAAATTTTAGGACGATCCATAATTTTACAGATTTCTTATCTGTAAATTTACAGACATTAAGTAAGAATATAGTAGAAGTTGCATTAAAATTTAAAACAGCAGGTTAAAATGAATAAGGTTAAGTATTATATGATTAAACAGGTCTAGGATTTCATGATATTTATGGACTGTCTGTAAATTTACAGATAAAAAAATCTGCCCGGCTATAGACTACACATGTACATTTAACAGAAAATTAAATCTAAAAAAATAAAAAAACAATATATAGAATTCTATACCTATCAACGACATTTTCAGTGTCAGTTCTAGTCAGGCACCTCCATTTTCAATGTTACTCAATGATAATAGGCGGGGTATTCCGATAACAAACAATTGCAACTTTTCAGATTAATAATAATCGTCAAGTGTTCCGAGTGAAAACGGTGCATGAAATACCGAATGACACCTTCAAAACGAAAATTTAACAATTTTTTTAACCGACTTCCCAGTTCATCGGCTTTGCCTAATTTTATATTATATAATTTTATATTATATTATACGGGGAAGTCAAAGACCGGGCCCGCGTAGCAGGTCCGGGCTTTGGCTTGCCCGGCTATAGACTACACGTGTATATTTAAACGAAAATCAAATAAAAAACAATTAAAAAATATATAGAATTCTATACCTATCAAAGAAATTTTCAGTGTCAGTTCTAGTCGGGCGTCGCCATTTACAATGTAACTCAATGATAATAGGCGGGGTATTCCGATAACGGAACAAATCTCAACTTTTCGGATTAATAATAATCGTCGAGTGTTCCGAGTGAAAACGGAAGCGGTGCATGTAATACCAAATGACACCTTTACCACGGAAAGAATGAAAGGATTTTTTAACAACTTCCCCGTTCATAGGCTTTGCCTAATTTCATATTATTACGATGTATATGTTCAGGTAAGTATATATGTTCTGGTATGTATATATGTTCAGGTACGTATGTTAATATACGTTCCTGATATGTTGCAACATAATTGTTGACATTTCAATACTCAAAATTACATTTATTTTTATATATCTTTGGTACAGTACCGTAGAAAAAGTCAGAAAAATTACCATTATGGAATTTAAGAAAATTTATTTCTTTACAGTTAAAAGCAAGTGGCATAGTTTTCTTGAGACAGTCCCATATTTTCCTTCATATTTGAATTTTAACGCATTTTGACCTCCACATATATATAGTGTGTGTGTGTGTGGTTTTGAACATTTTGTAGGCCTTCTTTTAGTTATAAGTTCCATTATTTCTAAATCATAATAAAATGTGAATAATCAAATGTTTAGATACGCAAAAGTTAGCTTACACTCATAGCTAATATGTGATTTGGACTCCGTAATTGAGGTTTAATCAACAGATCAATACAATTTACCTGCGATAACTATAGAATATCACCGGATGAATTCCGCGCCAAATCTGGTTCCAGGTCCTATACTGGTTACCGCTCAAGTTAAAAAACACGCAGGTAACCAGTCTAAATCTGGAATATGATAAATTCTGTTTCTTATCCGTTTATTTTACCCGGTTTTCTTTGTCATCTCGACCCTTGGCCGTCTCGTCCCCTAACTCGTCGATATTTAGTTAATGCATAAAGCTATCTTTGGCCAATCTGGCTTTATTTTTGTTTCTGGGAAGCTGATTCCAAAGCGTAGTACAGTTGGACATGGGGACGTGAACTTACCTTATGGTAGTCTGATCCTAATAGATAGGGAGAGCATATGTTTATTATATAAACCTCGATGGAGTTTTAATGTAGATAGGAAGGCTAGTGGCTACTAGGTTGTGATAAATTTTGAAAGAAAAACAAACATGACAATTCTAAAGTCTAACCTGCAATATTAATGCTTAAGGGAACGCCAGCCAATATCTTCTCGAATGACTGTTACTGATGACAATGGGGGAAATAATCGTGTTACAAACAGCGTATCGCTCGTCTAATGACCATTTCTTTTTTTTGGACGTTTGATTGTTTGTAGTAGCTCCAAACAGTGCATACTTAAATTTTGATTAGATCTATTTTGGTGTGGAATACATACACAAGGACATTTAAAACACCGTGTACGATACAAATAATTAATTAACATACATGAGCATACATAAAATATGATAAACAAGATCAACAAGGAAATGCGGCGTTCAATGAACGCAACCCCACACGATCCAGCAACAAGAGGCAGTGGCAAGGAGCCCAGGAGGACCAATGACATGAACATCAACACAAAGAATAACATAAAAAATAGAAACTCTTATTTTTATTAATTGTGGTTTTTGGATGGTGGCATAGATATTTTGATATAGAGTGTCTTTAACCAGTGCAAAAAATTCTTTCAATCAAATATTATCACAAATTTCAATTATTTTAACACAGACTAGCATTACAGCATTGTGTAACAATATTCAAGAAAATTAGTATTACTTAGACTAAAAGAAATACATCATTGCATATTGATTAAATTTAAGAATTTACCAAACTCAATGAGAATAAAGCCTGTCTGTTCACCTGCTGTGATACTGTTGACGAGGGAATCTGTGAGTTGGATGAGCTGTGCTTCACATGAACTTCTCTCTAAAGCTATACGTTGAAGGTAGGAAAGAAATATTGTGATCACTGAAGTGTGAGGATAGATCGGTAGCGACAATATGTTAGAGCGTTTTGAAAGGAATTTAAGTTAGTGATATAGGTCGGGAATAAGCTGGGTCTGTGCTGTCATCCTTCTTGTAAATAGGATATACATAGGCTTTGGGTTGGTCAGAGGGGATAGAACCGTAAAATTTTAAGATTATTTGGATCAGAATTGTGATAATGTATGTGACTTAATGTTTCATTTTTTTAAGAACTACTCGCTAGAAGGATCTGGGCCTGCAGCTATAGATTGGCAAGAAGTTAGTTTAAGCACCCCATTCTTGCTGGAAGATACATCATCTATTTGGAGCAACAAATTTACAATATTTTTTTAGGGTCAAGATATAACAGACTTTTTGTATGCAAGTTTTTTTTAGAGACACTGGAAAGTATTGAGTGCAATTGTATTGGCCATGTCAATTTTTTTTTAAAGATAGCCAAGCTGTTGTGTGGTGTTTAAGGGATGTAACATTTAGGATTCTTGTTTAGAACCTTTTCAGATAGGAGTACAACTTTTAAGTAGAATATTTAGTTTGTGTGTCTGTGGGACCATTGTCATGAAGTTCTAATATGTTTTCTAAGTGTTGATCATACTATGCTTTCATTTGGGTTTTAGTTTTTTTATTGTTTTTTTTTCAAGATTTGATTAATGTAAAACTTTAAGTGAATTGGTCTATAATAGAAGATCTGTTATACCATAAATCGTTATAAATAGTTATGTTGATAGTATCAGTATCATACATGAAAAACAAATCATAAAAAAATTATATATAATTATGTATGATTGTTGTTGGTAAATGTTGGATACATGTTTTCCAGAAATATTTCATAAGAACACACATATGATATATTTTATTGTTTTTAGCAATTTGAAGCATTTTGTTTACAATAAAATCATTTAATTATGGATAAAACAGCCTTTCTCATTGGTTGCTTTTTTCAGTTAGGTCAGAGGTCACTTGTACTACTACTTCATTCCATTCTTTGTATTTCGGATTTCATCAGTTTGGTTAAAGGTCACTTTTTGTAATACTACGCCAAACTGTATTTAGGTTTGGTTTTGGCGCCTATATTGGTTACAGTTTTTGTCAAGACATGCACAAATGTGCCACTCCCTCCGCCCTTTGTTTTTGTGTGTTGTTTTCTTGTTTAGCTTGTTAAGTGCTGTATTGCATGTTTTTTTATGTGTATTTGTTTCATTTTATAGTTATTTCCGCTTATATACAATGCATTCCAATTCATTTGTTTTTTTTGTTCGTATTTGATTCTGTTTTATTCATGTATAGATCACCACGTATCATTGATTTGTTAAATAACATTTACTTCTATTGATGTTATTATATAAGTGTTTATATGTACATGTGTAGTCCAGGACAGGGTCTATCAAATAAAATATTTGAAAGACACTGTCCAGGATAACACTGTGTTTCAATTTGTGTAACTGACTTCTTATTGTTTATGTGTGTTTTAGCAATATTTGGGGAAAAATATGCCCATCCAGTTTAAGAATTATACAGTGAGTTGGCCAATAACGGATCACTAGTGAAACTTTTAGTGTTAATGAACGAATGATTTTTTAATTCTTAAATAAATGTATGTAGATTTGAAGTATTTTTGTTCCTCTTTTACTGTATACTTCTTGTGAATTTGTATTTTGAATGCATCATGGTGCATTTACCTTTTTCAAACATATAGTAAACATGCCAATAACGGGTCAAATCAGCCATTAGCGGATCACGTGACATACGAATGGGGGATTGTCTCAAAACACGAATTTTCTGTCAAATTTGTCCTGATCAAAAAGAAATATTGCACAAATATATGTCACCCCTGAATATCAGAGTGTAAAGGGTACCACTTAGTAAAGAATTCAAGAGGCAACTTGAATGATTGTGGTTAACATAGTAATGTTATGGTTGTAATAATGGTGAACTAGATAACTGCTCTCAACGATTTGTGTAAGCAACAACCACAAGACAAATGGTTGCCATAGTTTTGTCAGTTTTGTCAGAGTTATCATCCTTGTCACATAAGATGTGGTTGATGATAAGGAACATTATGATTTAAAGTTTTAAGTTGATGCTTTAAGAAAAAAATGTATATGTAAAAAATAATTTTACTGTAAAATTACTGCACTGAAATCAGGACACAGACGCTGGGTGAGGACAAGTCTCAATATATATGTCATATAAATAGCTGAATATGAAAAAAAATATGTTCTTTGTATCTGATTTATTTAATAACAATGATTTATGATGTTATATATAGACTGGAAAAAACTGGATACCTACGTACATGTAGCATGGAACAGTATTTCACTGTTGCAGCTGTTTATACTGCATAAAATACTTTTTCTGGCATGGACTGCAAAATTCAGTTGTAATATTAACATAAATCATTTAAACTTTATATTATTTATTTATTTATTTGGTATACAAACCAAAATTTTCTATAAAAAATATTTTCTATAACAGGTTGGATAACCGAGGCGGTCCCTTCCTATAAAATTGCATGATCCGCTAATGGACATCTCGGTGCAATTCATTTGAATAGCGCTATCAAAATAATTCCTCAAGCATTTTTTTAAACGGTTGGTGTTGCAGGTAGTTAACATATTGGGCATCAGATATCTACCAGCTTTGATCAAATATCTTGTGAGTTTTTACGATAAATAAGGCAATAATTTCAAATATGTGTTGTCAATGGCGCTAAATTTCACGAGAAACGGAAACGCTTGGTTAAGCATCTGAGTGAAACTGATGTGAATTGCACGGATGTTTACATTTTTTCCGCTGTCAAGTAGCTAACATCCTAATGCACATGCCTGTTAGGTAAAAACATTTTTAAGCTCAAAACTGTTAGAAGAATATTTCGTTAAATTACTGACTGATCCGTTATTGGCTATGATCCGCTATTGGCTAACTAACTGTACATGTATACCCCATTGTATACACACTGGCCTCTTAAATATCGACAGTAAGACCGGTGTACACATTGTTACATACCCTTATAAATATAAACTGCCAAGAAAATTACATTTTGGCGCTTGTATTTATTTTTTTTGATTTGCCACCAAGATTCTGGTGTGGTAAAAAAACAAAAACAAAACAAAAAACTCTAGTCTGGAGTTCCTTCCCCTTTCGCTACGCAAAGATATACTTGTTAGATGCCGGGAACCAGAATAAAAAAAACTCTGGGTTAATTCCGCGTACCGCATACTGTTATAAAGGACATTTTGAATGCCACTCGGAATATCTCAGCGATTACCGATGGACTTTTCTTTGGCCGAAATGTTGCGAAAAGAAAGTCCACGAACGAAAAAATAAATGGACAAAAATTGTCCGTTATCAATGACCATTAGTGAGAAGGTAAATCAGGTATCATGCAAATAATTGTTTAATTTTGTTTTATTATACTTATTTCAGTAGATTTGTATGTAGCCTTCCTTGTATGCCTTATTATTGTTTAAGTTTATCCGACTATATGGGGGTTTTACCCATTCTATTTTTAGAAAGTTTTATGTTAAAAATAGATACCATGTTTATTAGATCTAGGCTATTGTCATACCCTCAGAACAATTTTTCAAATTTATCAAATGAGGACAGAAATCACATTTGTTTGGCTTTTGTCTCTGACATCTTGATAAAAAAAATGTCATGGGCAGTGTTGCACCTAGTCTTCTAGAATTCCAAAATTATGGGGGATTGTCCCCCATTCAACTGAAAAATGTGGGGAAATTGGAAAAAATGTGTATGGGACATGCATTTACCATACAACATGACATACCAAAATAATTTATTTTAAGTTTCTATTAGAGGCATATTTGACAACTATCGTCAGAAATAGAATAAAATATTGATGAATACAGTATTAAATTTAAGCGTGCAGAACTGCAGATCAAACCAAAGATGACCCTGCCGCTACACACAATTTAGTACGTATTTTAGTCATTTCTGCAAGTGAAAACAAACATGGCAGAAGCGTTCAATGTACAATGAAGATTAACTGAATAAAGTTGAAAGGATCGTTACACATTAAAATGCACGAGCTGCAAAAAATATGCGCAAATTGTGCAATCGCACAGCCTAGATGCAACACTGCCTGGAGCATATATTTGTTACACCATTTTTAAATAAAAAAGCTGTAAACATTATGTATCTACTGGCATGCGAGTTCCTGTACAGAAGCAGTACCCATATTTTTTGTGTAAAGGCTACATTTTTACGTGCATTCTTAAAAAATTTATTTCAAATCAAGCAGATGTATGAAAGAGACAAAATCTTAGGTCAGTTCAGCAACACTTATAAGAAATTTTCATTTTAAATCACTTTCACCTGTGCCTTGTCAAAATGTGACAGGTTGTAAACGTTGGGGAATTCTGTCCTTGTGTGCATGCGCAAAAATATTTACATATGAGAACTGTTATAGGTTTTTCCATTAATACCACCTGAGTACAGATAAGTGGACAATTTGATGAAAACCTGTTTAATTATCAGAATTTTTAACTATATTACTATATTAAATAATTTTATGGCTTTTATGCGTAGCCGTAAATATCTTGCATATAAGCATGCCATTGCATTTGAATACTTTGGGGTAACAGAACCTTCCTCTGGGAAAATGGTATCTTCAACAATTAAATGAAAAATAAGTCTGATATACATGTAACAACATTGTATAGTTATAATAGTTTATATTTAATGTATGGGAACTACTCAATATCTTCATACAAAATACATGTAATGGATAATATTGGTACCCCATATCAGGCCACATAACTAAGGGTTATTCTATGTTTAGAACATTATGGAATTTCCGTAATTTATGTGACAAGCCAAATATTGATGTGTTACATTCAATGTTTTGGTAAGTGCAGTGTGTTAATTTTTTTTAAGCAACAACGCTTTTGTTCAGGCAATGCCTGCATGCCAGTACAGCTATAACATTTTGTAATTCTAATTTAAACATGAAAAACGAAAACAACAAAAAACCAAAAATAACCGGAGGGTGTGATTAACACCATTTACCATGAGATTAATACTGATGTAAGGTTTAAGAAATAATTATATAATTGCAAGTATTTATTAGTTATTTTATATTTGACCCTTGAACTTCAGTTGGATATGATCAGTTCATTCTTTATAAGTTTTCATCATGGGATAAATCTTGAGTTACTAACAGAAGCTATGAGGAGAAAAGTATTTACATTTATTAAACACAATTTTAACAGACTATCAAAACATTTTTACAGAAATGTGTAAAAAGTTGTACAGATTTAAAATATTTGCCTGAAATTTTCTTTGTGTTGGTATTATGATAAATGAAATTAGTCAACTTTGACCTATAGATGTAAACACCTGCCACATGGAAATAAATTGCCATTACTGTGAAATAAGGGATGATGCAAATATAATATTGGTGACACAATTAGCAAATACAGTTTGACAAAATGACTCAGACTGGTGTAACAGACACTCATAAATTAGCAGAAGTTTAAATGCATGTGTCTTACTATTTACAGGGGGGACAATCTACTCCACTGTAAGATTGAATGGTTTATTCCAGAATGTCAACTAGTACTCATGCCACAAAGTTGTCCAAGAAATCAGTTCTTCTATTCAGGGCTCCAAAGGAAGGCACAACGGATCTGTTTGAGAAAGTAGCTATTATTTCACATTTGATTTCTATGCACTTGCATTGATCAATTATTGCCATTTAGGATAAAAATCACTAATTGGGTGTATTCAGTGAAAAGGACTGCTGCAGCCAATTGTATTCAGATAATTTATTCTAATTTATGTAATGAGAAGTAAAGTACTTTCCTTCTTCAGTTACACTATTTGAAAAAAAGTGAATTGTCATTGTGAACTTGTTGTTGTTTGTGTTGGCTAACCTTTTTGATTAAAGGTCATATTTGGTGAAAAAATGAAAAACCTTTCAAAAGTGATAAATAAGCTCTAAAGAATTATTAAAATCTGATAATAGCATTGTTTCACACTGAAAAACGTTTTTTGGTAACTTAAATCGCACTTTTGTGGAAAAAAAATGGATCCCCTCGCTAAGCTTACATTGATTACCTCCCTTGTCGATTTGACCATGTGACGTCACTAGTGAACACTTCCTGTCTAAACAATAATAACGCGCATATATGCCATACACTTTTCGTTGCTTTGTTATTGATTTTCTTTGTTTATATTTGTTTATTTTTATCACTTTATTCAAGGATTATACATTTTGTGTCTGTGTGTGAATATTGTGACATTATTCTGTGAAAAATCGTCCGTGGAATTGATATGGTCATTAATTTAAATACTAACATTGATACTTAATATGTGGATGCACCCGGCCTTACTTATTTTAAGGTCAAATGTTAAGGTCACTGCATGTTACCTGTAATAAGTTGTAGTTCAGGTCATTTTCTCAGAAGCTGTCAACGCTATTGACTTCAGACTTGATATACTTGTTGATTACCAACATGTGATACCATATCACAAGGGCATATAATCCTAAAATTATATTTTGCAAAGTTATTCGCTAATGGCTATTTTTGACTAAGACTTTTTGTACAAGTATAAGTAAGTAATTCTGACAATTACATTTTAGAAATTTAACTCATTAAGCCATGATTAAGGGATATGTTGAAGGCAACAATATTGTTACATACTTATTTAGTAATACATGTATATATATCAATGTTTCTTTGTACGGTTTCAGGAACTAAGAGAACATAAATACGAACCAGTTAGTATACCAGTACTAGACTTCAACTATATCAACATTGATAAACTCTCACAATGTTTGATACAGTATAGGGACTACTCGGCTATAGTGTTCACAAGTCAACGAGCTGTGGAGGCCACACAACTATCCAGTAATTATTTATTTCTATATGATCATTGTATATTCTATTCAACTCAAAAACATTTTGACTTGGTATATTTGCTTTTGTTATAAAAAAACATTAAAGGATTCACTTCAACTTTTAATATGTTGTAACATGTAAGTCAGCTAAACAAGTTTGCAGAATAATACTCTCTTTCCTTTGTTGCTTTTATCAAGCACAGAAAAAAAGCAGCATGGTGTCCATGAACAGGTCTTGTTGCTTTTTATTTTGAAGCAACCATATGCATTCATATTAATGCAAAATTTATATAACTTTTTTTTTTTTGACAGTTTCATGTGTTTTGTCATATGAACAATGTAATTTATGGTAGTATAAGGTACTTATAGCTCATATAGTTTACAAATAATGTGTGAAATATGCAAAATAACCCTTACACCACTGACCAGTAGCAATGGTGTAATAATTACTTAGATTATAGGAGTACTGATTTTATCACAATGTACATATGTACAGTATTTTATCACATAAATCACGGCGCAGGAGTATAATAAAGCCATTTAATAAAAACGATATTACACTAGTGTAATAACACTTTGACGTGACGTCATTTGCGCTATATAGAAACATAGCGTTAAAGTGCGCTAATGTTAGCGTTAGTGTTAAAATACTCATTTTAACAGTTTGCCGTTCTTATTTTATATATGTGATAAATAGAATATTATATTCGTGTAAATTCAATACTAAATTCATTGAACTCGTTGAATAAAACAATATTATGCTCGCCAGAGGCTCTCATAATATGATTTTATTCAGCTCGTTCAATAAATGTAGTATTAAATCTACACTCATTCAATATCCTCTATATATTAATTGTAATTATTATTTATACAATCTTCAATGCTTATTCCTTTTTTTTCATTCCAAAGGTTAGTTTTTTAAAAAAAAATATTTGCATATCAGCATGTGGCTTTGAATGTACAATTATTAATGTCTCTTTTGAAATGAAAGATTTACAATTTACATGTATCCCAGATAAGTGATCATTAGTTGTTTTCTATAACAATATAAGCCAAAATATGTCCCATTTAGATTTAGATTTTTATGCCCCGGGACATATATAGTGTTCCGTCATTCCGTCCTTCCGTCATTCCGTCATCATCAGTTTCCGTCCATTATCTTAGTAACGGTTGCACACATTCAACTCAAATTTGACATATGGATATGTCATGAGAAAATACAGGTCAAGTTCCAATTTGGTCATGGTTCGATGATTTTTGGCAGACTTATGCCCCTTTTACTTTGAAAATAATATGAAATTTTCAGTTTCTGTTCATTATCTCCCCAACGGTACAACACATTCAACTCAAACTTGACAAATGAATATGTCATGATAAAATACAGGTCAAGTTCTAATTTGGTCATGGTTCGATGATTTTTGGCAGAGTTATGCCCCTTTTACTTTGAAAATAATATGAAATTTTCAGTTTCCGTTCATTATCTCCCCAACGGTACAACACATTCAATTCAAATTTGACATATGGATATGTCATGATAAAATACAGGTCAAGTTCCAATTTGGTCATGGTTCGATGATTTTTGGCAGAGTTATGCCCCTTTCACTTTGAAAATAATATGAAATTTTCAGTTTCCGTTCATTATCTCCACAACGGTACAACATATTCAACTCAAACTTCACATATGGATATGTCAAAGGAATGCGCAGGTCAAGTTCAAATTTGGTCATGGTTCAATGATTTTTGGCAGAGTTATGCACCTTTCACTTTGAAAATAATATGAAATTTTCAGTTTCTGTTTATTATCTCCCCACCAGTACAATACATTCAACTCAAATTTGACATATGGATATGTTTTTGGAATGCCCAGACCAAGTTCTAATTTGGTCATGGTTCAATGATTTTTGGCAGAGTAATGCCCCTTTCACTTTGAAAATAATATGAAATTTACAGTTTCTGTTCATTATCTACCCAACAGTGTTACATATTCAACTCAAATTTGACATATGGATATGTCAAAGGAATGGGCAGGTCAAGTTGGAATTTGGTCATGGTTCGATGATTTTTTTGGCAGAGTTATGTCCCTTTCACTTTGAAAATAATATAGATACATCTTAGGAATAAGCAGTTTAAGTTTCAATTTGGTCGTGGTTCAATGATTTTGGACAAACTAATCTTTCTTGAATGTTGGAAAAATTTTGAACTTTCAGTTTCAGCACTCATACTTTTGTGGAAATGTATGTAGCCATTATTTTGGCTACAAATATGAAATATGCTATTTTCAAAAGGTTAAGACTGAATAATTTCAGTGCCTTGAACATTGTATGGAAATGGTTTGTGTTAACACTGAAAAGTTTTAAGGGCTTTGAACTTTAAATGAAAAAAATAATTTGTGCAAACAAATTTGGAACTAAATATTATAACATCTGAAATTTTGGCTGCATGCGGGGGCATCCATGGCATGATGACACATTTCTAGTTTTATTTAACATTACATTTAAATTGTTGATTATCAAAATTTAATGCACTGATTCACAGATACAAGATTGAAGAAACTAATTGTCCTTAAAATATTTTATGTTTTTTTTTTATTTGAAATACATTTTGTTAATGTTGTTGAAATGACTATTTAACAGTTGTATATTTCTAGTTTCAGATTCCAGTAAAGAAGTTAATTACAGTGACCTAACTTGTTATGTTGTTGGAGGTAGCACATGTAAAGCTGGTAATATTTTTAGCTTGGGTATTTGATTTATGTTAAAGGGAGTGTTATCTTACCCAGGCATCAGCATATGCGTCAAACTTTTGGTTAAATTTTATATACCACCCCACTTATTTTCTATACCCTTTGAAGTATTGCTTTAAAACTTTGTAATTACTTAATAGTGACCATCATCCCCACTTCTGGACAAGAGGACATAACTCTATCATGGACATTGACAAAAATATGGCACATTTTCCATCTTTGTATTTTGGTTAAGTTTTTTGTACCACCCCAATTATTTCCTATACCCTTTGAAGTATTGCTTTGAAATTTTGTATATACCTGTTCCTAACCATCATCCCCACTTCTAGGCAAGTACTCATAATAGTTGATAGTGCTGTCTTGCTGACATTTCTTGTTCATTTTTCAATCAAATGATGTTCAGCATTTTCCATGGTTAAGTTATGGATCATCCAGGGTAAATTTTCGACATGTAAATTAAGGACTTGCATTTATTATTTGCAACAGTTAAATATTAATGATAAATTGTTTGGCAAGAATGACTGATTTTAGATTGACAGTGTCTGTTGTTATTACTAAAAAGTGAATAGAGAAAAGTACATATTTGTGGGGGTTGCTGACAAATAAACATGAAAATTTTCTTATTTTATTCACCTTGTACTGTCCGACAAGAATGGTTTAAGTGCAGCATATATTACAATGCTATATGTATAATAATAGTATAAATCCAGGATACTGGACTTCTGTAATACAATCCTTGTAACGTTCTGCTGGTCGTAAACTTTAGAATTAAAAATGAAAATTGATCTTTAAACGTATGACATTTGCTGATTGCACGTTCTATAACATTATAATTTAAATAATGTTTTGGTAAGATCAAGTAAAAAGACTTTTAAGCATCATCTTTACGTTTTTCACTGGAAAGTACAGGTAGGTCAATTCAATAACAATGTCTTTAACATAAAAAAGAGTCAACTACCTTATATACATGTAAATAGCTCCAAACTAGATCAAGATCATTTATCAGTATATGTGTTTTGTCATAAAATCACAAAGGTACACAAACTGTATATTTATTTATTGCAGCTAAAGATGCAGGATTTAATGCAGTGTATGGTGATGCTGGAAATGCAGAAAAATTAGCAGAATATATCACAACAGGTAGATTTGTTTATCAAATTTGAAATTATTTAATGTCCTGTGGTTTACAAATTACACTGTTTTTACTACAAGTGCAGGGTTAGAGCTTTTAGCAACTTCTATTGCATGTAATATTTGGCTGTAGTTTCTATGTCTGAATTATAGAGAATGATTGTTTGTTTTGACAGGATAGAATATACATTTGTATATCTCACTGAGAAGTGACACAAATACAATATTTTATATCACAAGTGAAAATGTGATCATTTACTTAGGTGCGAGATGTATTTCATATTTATTAAAAAAAATAATTTGTTCATGTTTGAACTGAAAGGTCTAGCCCTCGAAGTTATAAATTTTTTTTTATCTGAGTTCTGTCTTGAATCTCAGGATTTTCATTAGTCAATAAACATTCTGTGTTGGTTTTGGACCAATCAAATACCTAAGATCTGAGTTTATGCTCATTAAATTTTAAACGCATGCAAGAAATAGTTAAAAAGAAATAGCGGAATACTAATTTATCATAATCTACCATAAGATTATAGAAACAACATTATATTAATGATTACAAACAAAATATAAAAATATTTCATTAGACGTAGCTTTATACCCTTTACTAAGTCTTTTTGTTTTGCATAAAATTTCATATGAATTTTAATTATATTTCTCTGAATGTTATAAAACTATGTTTCAAAGTCTTTATAGCTTTAAAATCTATATACTTGTATGATAAAAATGTTTAGAATTGTTTATGACATGGATGATAGAGTGTTTGATTAAAATAAACTTTGATTTTTTAAAAGGAATTATACCGCTTACATCACCGTTAAAATTGTTCCTATTTATTCAGAGGAAAAGTGCAGAGATAAACCAATACTTTATCCCTGTGGAAATCTAAGGAGAGACACTTTGTCAAAGAAATTAAAAGAAGCAGGTAGGTATTTGAAAATATAACCGGAGATACTTCAATTTATGTTCAGCAAATACATACATGTACCCGGTATTATTTTGGGATATGTTGTTGTAGAATTATGCACAGTTTGAGTTCAAATGCACATTAATATAATTAAATTTTTAAAGCATTTGAACAATTAACTATGCATGGCTATACTACAAAACATCAATTTCTATTTCTATTCTTACATGCTAATATGTAATAGAAAGGGAATTGATGAAATATGTTGAACTACATTTAGCGTAGAAGAAATTTTAGTTGACACCATTTGGCTAATTGATGTAACATCTGACCTCATATGACTGGTAAACATTCCTTTTTATGCTGTGCATATATCGTGTAATGATGCACTCGACTTCCCTTCCATTTAATAGGGAAATATTGTGAAGCATGTATGCTATAATTCATATATTGCCATGTCTGTTTTAGGATTCTGCTTGAATGAAATTGAAGTATATGAGACTGTGAGAAATAAATCAATAAAATTAAAAGTAGAAGAATTAATACAACATCAGGTATGTAGTTTTTATGATTTTAAACTTTTGTATGCTATAATCAGGATAAAAGATATCAATTTTTAGTGTGTTTTTGTAGTACAATGTATTGTTTAAGTTAAAATGGGCAGGAATATAATCATGGAGGCTGGTAGGCTTTGGTGATTCATTACAAAACATTTGAACAAAGCATTATAATGTTACAATGCAAAAAAAAAAATATTTATGGTTTGTACTATTCTTGTATTATACCGCACCTATCTTAAAACATTGATGGAATTGAAGTAGATATTTTCTTTTAAATGAACATTTCAAATACTTTTAATTTCTTGTTAGATTGCTAGAGTTATCATTTAATTTATATAATATTGTATTTAAAAGCCAGCATGAATACCTATACTAATATACAAATCTGGAATAATTGTTGTGAGCTAGACTCTAATGTTTACTTGATAATCCTTACCATCAAAGAACAAATCTGCCATAATGAAAATGCCAATTAGTTCTTATTAGTATGGTTCTTATTAGTGTGGTCACCAGTACTTGGTACCAACACATATAAATATGTACCAGTTCTACTCAAATATATATTCAAATGCTTTATCTATAATATCTTGCCAGGGACTACCAGAATATGTGGTGTATTTTAGTCCATCAGGGGTTCAATATACAGAAGATATAGTCTCATCAGGTATTCTTCCACTTGACCAGTTGAAGGTATGTTGCTGATACATGGAGCTGATTTTAGCATTTCTGACCTCTTTAAGGTCATTTCAATCTTTTGTAACTCTTTGGGGATCAGTCATCTGTACATATGTTTGTCCATTTTTAGCTCGACTATACGAAGTATATGGAGAGCTGTCCTACTCACCCCGGCGTCGGCGTCCGCGTCCAGATTTTAGATTAAAGTTTTGGTGCAGTAAAATATTTTTCACTATAACTTTGTCATTTCTTAAGGTATCAACTTCAAACTTCAAATATATGTTCCTTATCATCAACCACATCTTATGTGACAAGGTTCATAACTCTAGCACCAATATTTTCAGATTTATCTCCCCTTGAACTTAGAATTTTCCTTAAAAAATACTATTTTTTACTGATACTTCTTTATTTCTTAAGGGATCAACCTCATACTTCAAATATATGTACCTTATCATCATCCCCATCTTATGTGACAAGGTTCATAACTCTAGCACCAATATTTTCAGATTTATCTCCCTTTGAACTTAGAATTTTCCATAAAAAATATTATTTTTTACTGTAACTTATTTATTTCTAAAGGGATCAACTTCATACTTCAAATATATTTACGTAATCATCATCCACATCTTATGTGACAAGGTTCATAACTCTAGCACCAATATTGCAAGAATTATCTCCCCATAAACTTAGATTTATTTACTAGAAAAATGTTATTTTTTATTTTAACTTTTTTATTTTTAAAGGTATCTACCTCAAACTTCAAATACTTATACCTTATCATTAATTACATTTTATGTGACAATGTTCATAACTCTTGAAGCAATATTTACAGATTTATCTCTCTTTGAACTTAGGATTTTCTTTAAGAAATATAATAACTTCTTTACTTTTTAAGGTATCTACTTCAAACTTCAAATATATATTTCTTATCATTACACAAATGTTGTGTGGCAAGATCCATAACTCTAGCATGTCTATTTCTATAATTATTCCCCTTGATCTTGGAATTTATGTTAACAAATGTTATTTTTTTACTATAACTTAATACGTAATTATACATAATTGATTTTTCTTTCATAGTTTTGTCCTCCTTACTGCATCCAGTATTTTATTAGTCGAGCTTCGCTGTCTCCTGTGACAGCTCTTATTATACAACAAACAAAGGTAACTTTTGTATTATGGTATATGGTCTTTTAATGTCCGTCTGTCTGATCATCAGTAGATATTGATTCCTTTTTAAACCTGCCTGATCACACCATGCGTTGCTTAGTTATGGCCTTTGAAAAAATCTTAAAACCATACTGGTATTTGCCTTGTCTGCAATGGCTTATATGTGATTAACAAAATAATTTGAAATACTACTGCCAACCTGCTGAAAGGGTAAGATGCGAAATAAACAAACAAGTTAAATGGTAGTGTTATACAGTAGAACTTCGGTTAGTCAAAGTTGAAGGGACTTGGGTAAAAACTTCGACACATCGGGACTTCCACTTGTGAATCGGTTTCAAATTTCATGACAAAATCTCAAGCCGAGGACACAACCAACAAGATGGACAAAACCCCACCAGTTAAAACCCCACCACTCAAAATTTTATAGAGTGGACAAAACCCCACCACTAAATTTTACAGAGTGGACAAAACCCCATCACTTCAGTTTTATAGAGTGGACAAAACCCCACACTTACCAATTATTGGGCAAGATTTGATAAATTGAAATATATATAATAGACACATTTTTTTCACATTTTATTTTTTAATTTCAGTATAACGTTTGTGTAATATAAGAATAAACAATTTTATTAATTATGCATGTACATCTTGCATGTGCAATATGCAATAAAGGTGTTACAAACTGTACACAAAAAACTTAATCCAAATCCCTGAAGAACAAAACAGGTTATTTAATGATGTTTTGATTGCAAAAAAGGTGCAATAAGCTGTACACAAAAAAAACCCCATCCAAATCCCTAAAGAACAAAACATGATAATTATAGCATATAGCATTTATTTCAATAGCAATATAATACAATGAATGAGATTATACAAACAATTTACAAACTGTAAATCAACATCAAAGAGTAGTCATTTATTTAAGACTGTGCCACATTTATGACCTTGAATTATCCATTATTATTAGTTTCTTCAAATTCATTTCTTCAATTTATTTTATATAAAAAATAAACTGCTTACTATTAATCCAGATTATAGCACCTTTTCATCAATTAATTATTAAAAATAGCACATTTTGTATAGCACATTTCTAATTTATTCAGTTGAGTCTATTTTCCTTCATTGTGCTTAGTTTAAGTGGATACAGTGGCCGATAGCCTGAAGAAACTCGGGTACAGTCTTCTCCTTGTTGATGAGTTGTTCACACATTCTTTTGAGTTTCTGCTGATGCACAATTGTTTGTTTTTTAACATGTTTACAAGAAAGTTTTGTCCACTCTATAAAACTGAAGTGGTGGGGTTTTGTCCACTCTGTAAAATTTAGTGGTGGGGTTTTGTCCACTCTATAAAATATAGTTGTGGGGTTTTGTCCGCTCTATAAAATTTTGAGTGGTGGGGTTTTAACTGATGGGGTTTTGTCCTACATTCAGTAACAAAAGGAAAGGGCGATAACCAAACCAGCTTACAGTAAATAAATCTAGTGTGATTATTATGTGACACTGGGTCACGAAAGTTCTCAAAAGAAACTTATTTGTACTGTTTATTTTCAAATATAACTTCGACAATCTAAATGATAAAAATTAAAACATTATTTTACAAATGTGAAGGCATACAAAGGCTCTTAGAACACAATGCTGTGTAATTTACACCTGTCAGACAAGTTGATTTGAAATCATCTTTTGTGGCTAGAAAAGATAAGAATGTCTGGAGATCGAAGGTGTCTAAATAATCGAAGTACTTTGACTTAAATATTGTAAAATGTACTCGATTTATTCTCACGCCCGTTTAACTCACAACGAGTGAAAAATGTCCATCGGTAAAAATGTTGTGAGCAACTTCCGTTCCTCGTTGTGAGCACCCATCTTTGACGTGTGACACGATAAACAAGGTGAGTTTTTCATAATTTTTGAAGATTACAGACATTTATGTAAAAATATCGAAATGCAGTTAGCTAGCGATGTGTTTTCCGAGTATGCACATGTAAAGATATTGCCTGTTGGTGGACAATTTGATGGAAATACCGTGTGACGCAGTCACTCGGGGTAGATTATTATCTGAAAGTCTTCGTAGAAACGAAGATATACTCTTTTTTGCTTTAATCCTTGTTGTGAGCACCATAACCTCGTTGTGAGCAAGACAAGCGCAGTGCTTGTCTGGTTTTAATATGTAATTCAAATGGCAAGAATACAATTTTCAATGTGAGTTAAACGGGCGTGTATTCTATACGGACCAGGAAAAAGAACTTTGACACATGTGAAAATTTCGACACATATGATACAGGTTTTTATAAAGAATATATAGGGGGAAAAATTGGGACTTTCATTTTACTTCGAGACATCGAGAAAATTGAATTAATAGAAGTTCAACTCATAGAAGTTCTACTGTTTATAAAAATCACCTATTTTTACTCCAAAGTTTAATCTGAAAACTATAACATCATTTAGATTGAATGTACACATAATCAACAGACTATTAAAATACATTAGTTATATTTGTTTCAGGTAATTGCAATAGGTCCAACAACAGAGAAGGAGCTGAGAGAAAAAGATATTCCAGTGTACAGTGTAGCAAGCATCCCTGATCCAGAGGGACTTATACAAGCATTTTCTTAGCATTAATTTATTCTAGTCTTGTTTTTATTTTAACTCACTCAAGGGTTGAGGAAATTTCTTATGTACATACAAAATTAACTGAAAATAATCTTAGTTAAATATTTATGTCAGATTTTAGTGTTTTTTAATTGATATGATTCATATGTGACTGACTACTAAAATTATAGGATGGGGTTATTTTTCCCTTATTTTTATAGAGGAAGCCTTTCTGTAAATTCAGTTGGGCAATATAGTGCCATCCTCACCCTCTTGTTATTATGTTACTTTTAATTATTCAATAATGATAAATGATATTTTGTTACTATGTTGATTTCAAAGATATGGTGTGATGATGTATTGTAGCAGTCACTACTGCCACTTGGTGGTGGTGTTGGTAGTGTACACTCTGGATCACAGCAGTATATTGAATTTACCAGGGCAAAGTTCAGCCACCGCATTGTTTCTGGGTAAGCTGTCAACGTGTGAAGCAGTTTACCAGTACTAGTTGTCTTCAGTCCCGCAAGGAATTGATAACTTCTGTGCAGGCCAGGGCAAAGGCACCGTGCAAATGACAGTAGAAAGAATTTCATGATCAATCACAACAAAAATGACCTGCTCGGTCTGGGATTCGAACACAGGTCGCCTGATTGACAGTCCAACGCTCTACCTTTTAAGCTAACTGGACTGCCAAAATGGCATTGATATTCATATATTGTAAAAATAGAACTTGTTAATTTGTTTGTTTAACAGGAAGATTTTGTCACTGTAACTCTTGATAGATGAAATTCGGAAATGACTTGATGTGTATAATGTTATATCATTATACAGAGTGAGCTCTTCCTGAATATGAATATACCGAAGAAAAAGTTCCTGTAACTGATAGAAGGAAGAAAAAAGTCATGTGTTCAGATTTTGTGTGTTTGAAGAGGAAAACAGTTCTTTCACATGAAGTGTAAAAAGCTGCATATTTGAGGTCTTTGGATTACAAAACTATTACTTATATAATAATTAAAATAGCCACAGAATACATAAATTGAAAGAATTTGTATATTTCATTAAAATGAGCGGAACAATAATTTTGTGCCAAATAATTGCTAAACCAATTAGATCATTAGAAGAGTGATAATTTGTTTCTGATTTTTGTACAACATTCATGTATGTTAGATCACAGAGACATTCTCTGTCACAACTTATTCGAGAAATTACAAAAAAGTTATAAAAGCTATGTAATTTTACTGTTTTCAGATTTTTACAATTTTTTAATCGGATATAGCTTTATACCCTTTAACTTTTAGAAATAACTTAATTGTGTATGATTTATTTTCTGTTTTAAGTTGTGTACTCTGGCATTCTTGAAAACAAATGTTTAATGTGATCTATTATTTTAAATTACTTTTTAGACTTCATTGAAAACTATCTCTTTATTTATTTATTTTTTGAGTCGTCTTTAAAATGGTTTTTTTTTCTGATAATATTGTTTTTGTAACCTCAAAGTGTATAAAGCTATATATATGCTGCCTATATACAAGCGTATTTCATAATTATTGTTTTTATTTGAAAAACAGTTCTTCTGTGATGCCTGTTTTTCAGAGAACTGTGATTGTATATTTAATTAAGATCGAATGGCCCATGCAGGAAATTATTGCTTAACGGTTAAAACTCTACATGAAATAGTATAATATTATGTTTTTGAACATTTTATTCTGCTTAAGTAGAATATTCTCGTGTGTTAAATAGCACAGACATTCTATGTTACAACTCTTTTGAAAATTCACCATAAGATAATGTAAACAACATAATGAACACTTATACATTTTATAAATTTTTTCCCTTTATATTCCTTTATATAACGTTCAATAAATACATTGTTTTGTTTAAGAATATGTCTATTTGTGATAAATTTGTTATTTATTATTCTAGGAATATATATTTATACATGAAGATAATGATATTGTTGCTTATAACTGAAAATAGTGTAGGATCAGAAAAAAATAACGTTACTGGGCAAATATATTTGCAGCCAGCAGCCACACAAGGATGTAAGGGGCGTAAAATAAACAAAAGTAAACTAACAGTTGGTTACCTACCAATTAAAAAAAAAGTTAGTTTCATGTAATTCAGAAAAAGTAAGGCTTTGCTAACCTTAACTGATTTTCTTGGCACTTGAAACAAGCAAATTTAAAGGTAGATAAAAAAACTGGATACAGGTTCGGCGATGACTGATTTTATGGCTTATTATTATTTTATTGTACATGTATATAGCATAACCTCTTAGTTAAACTTTTATACCTTTTGTTTTTTTTAAAGAAAAGAATAGAGGTATTGTTACAGTCATGTTTGTGCTGCCCCCTCCCCCCAAAAAAACTTTACCATTGATCATAACTTTTTAAGTTCATAGTGTTACTGTGTATTGTCTTCAAACTTGGCCACAACAAGCCTTGTGACAAGACCTTTAAGTAGACCAGACTGAACTTGACCTTAATTCATAATGACCTTGAAATTTGGACCATGTTCAAAATTTCAGATGTAAATTGAACATTATGGTAATAATTTATATATGAACAAAATAAGTGTGACTAGACCTATCTATAAATTTTTTTTTAAAAGAAGGAAAAACTTTTTTTTTCTCCTTTAACTTTTTTCTAAAGGTCTATAACTTTCTTTTGTTTGCTTTTTAGAAAGAAAAAAAAGCCGAGCGTTGCCCTACACAGCGATGGCTCTTGTTAAGATAATTTAACAAGTTTTTGCAAAATTTTCTATGTAGTAGCTGCATGTAAAATTTTATATTGACTCACATAAGTTTTTAGCTCACCTGTCACAAAGTGACAGGACAGGGTGAGCTTTTGTGATCACTTTTCTTCGGGCGTCCGTCCGTCGTCCGTCCGTAAATTTTACTTTTAATGACATCTCCTCATAAACCACTAAGCCAATTTCATCCAAACTTCACAGGAATGTTCCTTTGGTGGTCACCTTTAAAAATTGTTCAAAGAAATTAATTTCATGCAGAACTCTGGTTGCCATGGCAACCAAAAGAAAAAACTTTAAATATCTTCTTCTAAAAAACCCTAAGAGCTAGAGCTTAGATATTTGGCATGAAACATCTTCTAGTGAGTGTCTACCAAGTTTGTTCAAATAAAAGCCCTGGGGTCAAAATTGGCCCCGCCCCAGGGGGTCATTGATTTTCCCTATATGCATATAGTAAAAACTTAAAAATCTTCTTTTAAAGAACCCAAAGAGCTAAGATATTTAGCATGAAACATCTTATAATGAGTGTCTACCAAGTTTGTTCAAATAAAAGCCCCGGGGTCAAAATTGGCCCTGCCCCAGGGGGTCATTGATTTTCCCTATATGCATTTAGCTAAAACTTAAAAAGTCTTCTTTTAAAGAACTCAAAGAGCTAAGATATTTAGCATGAAAGATCTTATAATGAGTGTCTACCAAGTTTGTTCAAATAAAAGCCCCGGGGTCAAAATTGGCCCTGCCCCAGGGGGTTATTGATTTTCCCCATATGCATATAGCTAAAACTTAAAAAGTCTTCTTTTAAAGTACTCAAAGAGCTAAGATATTTAGCATGAAACATGTTCTAATGGATGTCTACCAAGGTTGTTCAAATAAAAGCCCTGGAGTCAAAATTGGCCCCGCCCGGGGTGTCATTGATTTTCCTTATATTTGTATAGCAAAAACTTAAAAAATCATCTTCGAAAAAAACCCAAATAGCTAGATTTTAGATATTAAGCATGAAACATCTTCTAGTGAGTGTTTACAAAGTTTGTTCAAATAAAAGCCCTGGGGTCAAAATTGGCCCCGCCCCGGGGGTCATTGATTTTCCTTATATGTGTATAGCAAAAACTTAAAAATCTTCTTTGACAAAACCCAAATAGCTAGAGTTTAGATATTAAGCATGAAACATCTTCTAGTAAGTGTCTACAAAGTTTGTTCAAATAAAAGTCCTGGGGTCAAAACTGGCCCGCCCCAGGGGTGTCATTGTTTTTAACTATATATGTATAGTAAAAACTTAAAAAATCTTCTTTTAAAAAACCCAATGAGCTAGAGCTTAGATGTTTAGCATGAAACATCTTCTTATGGGTGTCTACCAAGTTTGTTCAAATAAAAGCCCTAGGGTTAAAATTGGCTCTGCCATGGGGCTTTATACAGGTGAGCGATCTCAGGGCCATCATGGCCCTCTTGTTTGATGATGGGACAAAATAACTCAAAAGCTTGAACCTATTTGACGTTGACTGTCCAGGTCAAATGATTGAAACAAATTGTCACCAACTTTGTTATTTATTTACAAATATGATTAATACTTGAGCAAAAGAACACATATGACAAAACTGAAATGTTGAATTATTCTGATATTACCTTGACTTTCAATTGGCATTGACCTTCAAGGTGAAATAATTGACATTTGCTTAAACTGTTCTAACTTTGCACCATAAGCTAGCTGAACAACTTCCTCAAGAATTAAAGTTTCCTGTGGGATTTTACCTATAACGGTGAGGCACTCGGCCACGGACACCGTAAATCAAACAGTGTCCACCAATACAATGCGATTTTAAATTACAGAAACATACATAAAGAAACCCTGTATCTATGGACTCAACGGTGAGGGACGCAACATACAAGGCTTACTTGAATGAAGTTTCTCCATGTTAATTGCTATGCATGTATTTATAAATCGAATTTGAATTTTTAATTTGTACTAAATTAAAACTGCTTGTCAATAAATATTTTTTCGATGCACCGACTGCATTATTAACTTTATATCGTAAACATATTCTTAACTTCTTAATTTTGGATAAAAACACGTAACTAAAAAAAGAGGGATCTTGATTTTCTGTCAGAATGTTTGCCAAGTTCAATGCGTTTCTGCCATCATCAGTAGCCTGGAACCTAGAACCACAGCATTTTCTGTTTCGACGCCTGAAACAATCTCAAGAAAGGCACACTTGGTTGATATTTGGCATGCATGACACTAGATTAACCTGGTAGTATCTCCAGTCAGTGGACAGTAATTCTATAGCAATGAAATTGACCTAATTTTACCAACCGAGTAATAATTTATATGTAATAATCAGTAAATTTTAGATACCTGTCATCGTTGTAGCATTCTGTCCTCACTGGCACCCGTTATACGGCGTGCAATCCGAAACTACCCCGCTTTTTTAAGACCATTTTTGTTAGAAACTCAAGCGGCCCTATTTTAGCGGGTTCTACTGTATATTTACATATTAAAACCGCTCGTATTTCACGATTATTTTTCTCTTATCATATTCTTATACTTGTTCATACAATTTGGAAAATAACTGGAGTGATACAAATGTACGATAAACACAAACAAACAACAACAACAAACACGTGGACACAATATATTTAGCGTTTAAACTTTATTTATGGTAACATGTAGGATGTAAATTTAGAAGCTTTCCGATGCTCTTAAAGTAAAGTACTATAAATAGTGTCACATTAGTTGTCGTTATATATAGTGTTGTATAATATTTTAAATTCTGATGTAATTGTTACTTAATTTACACCCTTGTGTACATGACATGTTGTGTACATGCTGGTATCCTAGAGGTAGTATAGGTATCAAATATATCCGCAGAAGTTTTGCTATAAAATTAATTGATTGATTATCGATTGAATTTCAAATAAAATTACGAATAATTGGCTGAAGGGCCAAAACCTGTCATGGTTTCCCATTTTTTATATTTAGAAATGATGGCATAAGAAACTATTTATAAATAAAGATTATTTTTAATTGAATGGAATTCTAATAAACTAGCAAGAAACTTGACATCACAAGACTAGTAAACACAGACAAAATATGGGTAAGATTTTATTTATATATATATGAAAACTTCAATTACTTCATTACCAGTAGAATGATTGTAACTGATTTGGTAAGTATTTGTTATAATTGTTTTTATGATGATAAGTACTGTATGTATGTAATCCTGTCTTTAAACCAATTTTTAAAACAATTGTGCATTCATTAAGATTTGTGTGGACCATATTATGTTCCGGCTACGAAGTTAGCTTAAAGTTGATGTCTACAATGGGGAACATTTTCCATAAATTTTTCAAATATTAATAAGAAAAAAATAATCTATATTATACTGCTTCAAAATCGTAATCGATTACACTAAGCAGACGCGTTGTCTGAGAATAGCTGTTAAAAATATGTTAAGTGCAAATTTATAGACATAAGGTAAAAGCAAGTTTAAAACAAGTGAAAAAGAACTACAAGACTGAGAACAAAGCTGGCTTAGAACTGTTAAAAAGGATGCAGCTGCCCAGTAAAGAGGTCTAAACTGGGACTAGCTTGTAAGGACACGGGTACGAATACTTCTGGGGAAAAATGAATATATGAGTGATCTTGTGTCCTTGAATATAGTATTAGGAAGTTCAGGTTTCTAGTGGGTGTCGGATGGTGATGGTCGACCCTCACAAGAATCTGTGAAGGTTAACAGAGCTAATGTTGCGCCTCTGTTCTAGGGTTTGCCAATGAAGTTCACATATCATTTTAGATACACTACTGGTACTGGTGTCATTGTATACATATCTGGCAGCTGACCTTTAAATATATTCTATTTTGTAAAGCAGATATTTTTGCCAAGGATGCCAAACCGTTGAACAGTATTCTAACTAGGGCTTTACATAAGTTTTGTAGGCAGTTTCTTTGACCTTTTTATTTGAAGTTTTGACATTTCTTTTTATAAATCTGAGTGAAATATTTGCTTTTGCTCTTATTTTATTTATGTGATTGGTCCAGGACAGATCTTTACTAATTGTTACGCCTAAATATTTTGCAGCCTCAGCGGATTTTAGTTGTTGACCATGTAAATTATAGGGGAATGTTACTGGATGTTTCTTGCGGCTGATACTAAGGACTTCACAATTATCTGGGTTAAATTCCTTGGACCAATCAGATTTCCAGTTTTCAAGACTGTTGAGATCTTTTTGGAGGGTTTGGGCGTCTTGGGTTGATTTGATTGTTAGATATACATGTACTATTGTATCGTCTGCAAATAGCCTGACCTTGCCCTTAACACTATCAGGAAGGTCGTTTATGTAGGATCAGAAGAGGCAAGGTCCCAGGACCGAGCCTTGGGGGACACTAGAGAGAACAGGAAGGTTGTCAGAGTTTTGACCATCAACAAAGACCTGTTGGGTGCGACCATATAAAAATGACCTAGTCCATGAGATGACCTCTGAGCTAACACCTAGTCTGAGTAGTTTAAGGAGAAGTTTGTGATGGTCTACTTTATCAAATGCTTTGCTGAAGTCAATGACATCGGTCTGTTGGCCTTGCTCTAAATTGTCATAGACTTTCTGGGTGAAACTGATAAGCTGGGTTTCACAGCTATGTTTTGACCTGAAACCATGTTGGAAATTGCTGAGAATATCATGCTTGTCGTAGAAAGACATGATATTGCAGACAATTATATGCTCCATTAGCTTAGAGGCAATGCAGTTAAATGATATAGGCCTGTAGTTACTAGGCTTATATTTTGGGCCTTTCTTATAAACAGGGGCAATGACTGCGTGCTTCCTGTCATGAGAGACAGTACCAGATTTTAAGGAAATTTGGAAGATGTGTGTGAGAACTGGGGCAATTTCAGTATGAAGTTCTTTCAATAACTTTGGGGACAGTTGGTCGGGACCAGAGGCTTTGCTTGGGTTTAAACATTTGAGGAGTTTCTTTACTCCTTCCTCAGTTATGTTGACATTTGGCATTTTTGAATGGTTTTGTGGAGTAAGCAATTGTTTACATGATTGGTTTAGACTTAATGGTTGGGGGCGGGGGAAGACAGACTCAAATTGTCTATTTAGTATGTCTGCCTTCATATTAGGATCAATAAAGGTTTGACCATCACTCTTTAAAGGTGCTACTTCACAGTTTTCTGTTTTGTTTGATTTGATGAAAGAGTAGATTTTCTTACTCTTTCCTGGTTGTGAATCATCAGAGAAAATGACCTTGTCTAAATAATCAGTATGAGTTCCTTATTTCTTTTTGTATTTTACCTCTAAGCTTTTTTAATTTGCTAAGCAGGTCTAGGGAAGGGGTATTAGACTGTTTAATTTTTTAATACAGTCGATCACGTTTCCTTATTTGGCCAATGATGTGTGGATTTAACCAGGGTACCTTAGTTCTCTTTGAAGGGATATGGATTGAACTGAGGCGGGTTCTAATGATGTATATTATTTGGATATTCTGATAAAAAGTCGCTTGAAAAAAATGTTGATAATGTTCTCAACTGATTTAAATGAACATGTTTTATTTTGAAGTAATAAACTGCTATACAAATATATGTAATATTGGATCATGTATCTCACACATCACAACAACTTCCTTGATAATTATTTCGTGGTTTGTTGTTATGACATTCAACATCATTATTCATTGTATTACAGACATTCCATTATAGACCAATTCACTTTAAAGGAGCGACAATGACTGGTCTAAATATGAAAATAAAACCTTAGTAACTGATTGCATAAGTGAGCAGGGAGAACAGGGATTATAAAAACTAGTCATTACTTTTCAACGATGCTTACTTAATTAATTGCTTTAGATCTTTTTTTTAAAACATTTCTAAACATTTTCGGTTCTTCATTGTATTTGAAAAACTTATTCATATATTTTAGATACGCGATTCGGCAAAACAAGAAAACTTCAAAGGAATCGAGGTGAGTTCCAAAATATTATTGTATTCATACACATTTTTAGTTCGCCCGAGCACACTATTCTTAGAAGTGAACTTTTGTGATGGCAGTATGTTCGTCGCTTAAACATTATCTCTTTAAACATTTCAGTGCATTTTTGTCAAACTTCACTGGAATGATCATTGAGTCACCCCCTACAAGTCATAGGAGTAAAAATAAGCATTAAAATGAAATATTTAAAAATCCGTTTAACTCAATGCCCGAAGCACGTAGCATTTCCTTGTTGACATCTACAAAAGTTACATTGATTTATAATGCTACTTGATATCATGATTTGCGTATACTTATACAGAAAAAATATGTAAAAAAATCTTTTCCTAAACAGCAATACCTAGATTATATCTCTACAAGGTCCACTACAAAAATGATAAATTATGTCTGCCATGTTAAAATTGTAATATAGGCTTTCCACTTATATTTCAATACACATTTAAATCTTCTCGTAATTTGTGTGAAGAACTAACTTAGATATTTGGCATGTAGCGGAAATCTACAAATCAGCAATAGAGCTCAAGTAGAAAATGACGCACACATTATGACCGAAGAAATAACTTATGTATTGAACTATTGGATTGGGACCTTATTAAGCAATGTATCTCAGGCGAGCGATCCAGTGCGATCATGACCCTCTTAGCTTGTTAATTAGCGTATTTCCTCGTCAATATGGCTTTAAGCCAACATTATATCTGACGTATTTCACCACTAGCTACAACTAAAGGTCAGGCACCTGTCCGCATTAAAATCTTGTGACGAAATTCCTCGGATTTATTTAAAATCTTGATAAACGGGAAGAAATACAGTTGTACATGATACTCGTATACTGGCTAGAACTGAAAAGGAAACTAAATGCTAATCGCAAATAATATAACGTGTCACTTGATGATTTGAGTGAAAATAAAGACTCCACGTGTAATCAGTGAGGGGTTTAGTTTACATGCAGTTTGATGGTAACCACGTGACGAATGATGATTGAGTTTATTCTTCTTATCTTGGCATAACAAACAAATATGAGACATTTACATACTGAATGTTGTCTAAGTCTTAAATAATCAGAACACAGTCAGTTTCGAAAGAAATCATCCTTTTTCAGTAAATATCAGCTTTGAGCAAGTAGAAAGGAAACATTAATAATCCACACAATATTTATGCTCTATGTCGTATTGAGGACCGTGCTTAAATATCTCATAGTATTTGCGAGTACCGTAAGACTAGTTAAAATAAACATTTATTTTAAATTTCAGCAACATTTGAAACGTTATCCTGCAGTCGTCGATCAACTTCTCGGGAATCTCCTTGGAACCAGACGAGAACACAACCTAGTATTGAGTGCAACAGTAGAAAGAGTCATGTCCCTGGGAAAGCAGGTTATTTATTTTTTCTTTAGCTTACATCAGTTCTTTTGTACTTTATATTTTGATTTTATTAAGAGAAGTAACCGTGAATCATTGATGTTATACACCAAAATCATATCATTTTCATGATCTAAATAAGGGCTGATGATCCTGATGTGCAATATAATAGTTTTAAGTTCGATGTTAATACCAAAAAGACAAAAAACATGAAATACAAATAACGAGCAGGTTAGATATTCCAAGTAACACTGCGAATTTCAAAGATAGTTGTTTTTTGTCCCTTTGAAAACAACCATTGCAATATAAAAGGCGCATAATTTCGAAAAATGATTTTCTAATTCAAGCATGCTAGTGTTTTTTTCTGCCCAAATCAAAATAGTAAAATCCCACACCATGCATTCTCAAAATTCACAATTCTTTCTCTGTTCTTCTCATTTCCTCAATACTTCAAACGCCCATAATTATGTATGCAATTGTGTGTACATTTCAGAGTTTAGACGACTTGAGCAAATGGTATTGTGTAAAGTGTGTTTGGACAGAGATTCGTGCATGATCTTGTTTCCTTGTCGTCACATGGCAACATGCGAGTTTTGTACTAGTGTCTTGACGAGATGCGCAATATGTCGCGCTCCCATCAAGGAAAGGGTCAAAATTAATTACGACTGAAACAAACAATTTATTTTCGTTTGATCATGTTTTGCAATGTTTGAATAAGACATTGATATAATACCCGATGTTAAAAAGGATCACAAACTATCTCGTCATGAGCTATTTCCACTTCTGATATCGTGGCAACATCTTTCATTAAATAATCGCCTTCATTTACAACCTTTTTCTAAGTTTCTGCACAACTTCAACGTTACGTAAATTTGACAAGTCGCACGCTAATGAATTAAATAATTAAAATGTACAGTCAGCATCTAGATACATAGTCATTTGAAATGAAAACAAAATTGTGCCATCACTTTCTTAAGCAAAAATTTCCCCAAATAAAGTGTATCTTAATACTTTCCTGAAACCAAGTATTGTCAATGTTAACCAGGCGGTGATATATCTATTACCTATTATAGGTAAAATATATTACATCGGAAGAAAAATTAATTAAAAATAAGCAAAATACTTAAGTATGCATAAAATTAATGAAATTTGTATTTCGAGTTAAAGATATTCATTATTATCATTGCTTGAACCTGACGTATTATAATCTTAAAATATAACTCTTTTTATTTTTTAACAATTATAATATATAATTTATATAGACATTTCCGGGAAATAAACTTTCATAAAACTTTGTTAACTAAAATCATTTAAAATGAAGAAGGATAACTATTCAAAGGTCTTTTTAATAATAATAGTAAACTACCTTGTTACAATAAAATGTTTTTAAAGCTGTGTTCCTCCAGATGAGCAAGCTCAAGAAGATCAGCCTTGAGAAAAATGTGCTAAGATTTTTGAAAAAGGAAGTATTCATAATTTAAGAAAAAATAAAATTTTATGTGCAATGCAATAATTGATTTTCAGTATTTATCACGATATTTCTACGGACTGACGCAGTAGGGCTACTTACTGCATATTCTGACCTTTTTTGATAATTTTTGTAGATCTAAAGTTCCGTTTGCAATCCTGACAATATACTTTAAAATATGGAGACATGCTGCTCTACTATTCAAATTTTTGAAAGTGTCGTTTAAGAGCAGGTTTGGAAATACCGTCATGTATAAGTGAAGAACTAATGTCTATGATAATATTAGCGACTCTTTTAATGATATCACGGCTGTAAAGTGCTAACCGCAATCCTGAACCTGAGATGGCAAATAAACACGACAGAGAAGAGTCTGAAGGTGAAAACAAGTTAATGAATAATGACATAGATGGCAAAAGCCCGAGGGTCATTATTCATTCATGGCATATCATAACTTTCTGTCCCTTATCTGACTTGTATTAATGTATTTAACACACTTTTTGATAACTGAAATAGTACAGTGTATTTGCAATAATTTTCAACATTTCTGTCGTTAAAATCTTGTTTCTAGATAGTCACTTTAAACTTATAGCCTCTTAATTGAAGTCAACTCTGAATAAAACTTTTATTTTTCCTATTAGTTACGCTAAGTTTCATTTATAGAATCAATTCATCCTTCCTACAAAATTTACTTTTAACTTTAACCAAGCTTGTTTTGAAACTTATTTCATAAAACTGTGAGTATGTACAAGTATCTATACATAATTTAGTCAGACCATTTCACATGTTCGTTTTAAAGCACATGATCTATTGAAGCTGACTTAATAGCGGTTGTGTGGGGACTTGAAAAACAAGAAATACACATCATGTATGTATGTATATCATACCAAACTTTAATGATATCGAATTTTAATGAAAGATGTTGAAGAGATAATTCTTTTATAGCCAGTGTGAAAACTGAATTGGGAATACTAGACTAATATCATTACATGTAATTATTTGTATAAAGATAGGGGTGATTTCTTATAAAGTGTTCAGTGTTCATCATTTACCCCGAATTTTTGAACAAAGTGCATAATGTATTGTTGATATTTTAAAACGATCAGGAAATGATGTATCCTATGAGTGTAAAAATTCAAATCACAATCGAAATATTTCTTGCTCTGGGACACGATACACATAATTATTTTGAAAATGCAATAATTCAAATATACCATCGAAGTACTTATAAAATAGCACTTTTGTTCGGTAAGAACACTTGAGAAATCTCTCCCTACCATTATGTATAACGATAGCCAACAAATATAGCAACTATTGTTTTGTAATACGTACACGTTGTTATCCCTATTTTTAAAACACTGCACGTTTGGTTGTTACAGCATTGATTCTTAAGTTTACCTACGACAATTTGAATTAAACGAAAATTTAATACCAAGGAAACTAATGATATTGTAATGTCGTGCTTTTGTTCCATTCTATGCTCTACTTTTGAGTTTACGTCCGTTTATAGCGGGTCATAAAACCTGCAATTAGAATATAAAACTATCGATGAAAATTAATAATAATATGTTCGGTCGTTGGACCGAGAGTACCTGGGTATTTTCGAGCACACAACAAGCCTACCGGACACAATAACCTCAACAACGTGAGTGACAGAGATACCGATTTACACTTACAATTTATTTTGTTGAGGAAACCAGCAAATTCTATTTCTATAAAGTATGGCTTTTAAATACTACGCAGTTCGTTTCGTCGTAAATCTGGAATTCCAAATATAACGTGATTCTATCTAAGTCATTGTCATTTTGTCATGGCGGATAGGCTTAGACCGCACAATAAAGAGAAATGGAAAAAAGAACTGGAAGAAGCAGGATTTAGCCATTGCGGTAAGTTATAATTTTAAACATTTAGACTTTCAAATATCAATAAATGTAACAGAAGTTAATTATTCGCCTGTTAACACAACTGACGCCTTAAATTGTATTAAGTAATGTTCAACGTTAAGCGATGGACATTCAATGTTATTTACATATACGCACGCAGGGGAAGGGTGCAGAGGGGATCTCGGGTAATTTGAAATACGAGATAAGATTAAAAAGCAAAACACTACGCATAAAATTGTCAAAAATTTAGATTATAACTACTTCCAAACTAATTATTACAAATGAAAGAAGAATGTCCGATCCGCTCCTTCTATAGATCTCATCAGACAACCTTTAATACATAATATAGCACTGAACTCGAAGAAGTCCCTGTTAAGTTTGAAAAGAAAAGGTCTTTTAGGTTGCTGTCAGTAAACGGACAATTAAAATTCCCTTTTAATTAGTTTGAAAGAAATGAGTAAGTGCATGCGGTAATGTGGAATTGCCAATTTGTTGTCCTTTAAAATTTTTGGCAGTTTTTTTCTTCTTCTTAAAATTATACCATTTAACCACTGAAAGCCTTTATACTTATACCATCTTGCGTTGAATGTGGAAAAATAGCTCCAATGTCATAAAAACTACAGCAATGATTGTTTCCCAACATTATTCCAAACGTTATTTGAGTTCAATGAATAGAACATTTGTGAAGTTGATAACGTAATAAGGAAAGCAATAATGCACTTAATTAAATGTAATGATTATTTATTTGTAACATATTTAATCAGACGATATTATGCACAGATTATATTAAAAAGCATAAGCTTTAAAAATTTAGTTCACTGTAGAAAATATTTCTTCAAACTTCAACGCTTTATTTGGACAATAGTATTTACAAACTGTATATGTTGGAACACCATTTGTGAAATGGAAATAGCAATGAGCACATAAGGTCTATATGTGTTTGATATTAGTGATATATCGGGTAAACTTAAAATGGCGGACAGATCTCAGTAGCCCTTTCAAATGCAATTACTAATGCAAATAATACAGATTTTAGAGGCTCAGAAAAAAGCATTCTTAGGTTCAACAAGAAATATGTGTTTAGAGGTATTTATTGCTTCATTTAAGAATAAATCTGGCATCGTACGATGTATTTAATTTATGCATTTTAGCTTTTCTGAAAGTGCCCAGAGTTTAGCTTTTGATATCACATTGCGTCTGTCGTGCATCCGGCATTTTCTTAACTGTACCCTCATATACCAAAAGGCTAATATTGTTTAGACTGAGCGGGAATTATCCTGGAATAAAGTTCTGGAAAAGTTGTTCATATAATTCTATTCCATACTGAACAGTAGATGACATGGTAACCGAAAGAAAAGAAAACCTTTTAAAATGTTTTTATGTTTAAAAACGTGAAAACGTCTGAATGTCTTGTTCTCTTGAACCACAAGTGCTATAGCGTAGACATTAGCGTGAAACATTGCGTTGTGAACTTCTGTCAAGTTATGCTTCGCTCCGGGGTCATGCTGTTTTTAAATTCTGAGTAACCACTGAATCAACAAGTACAGGCGCGGAGCAATAACAACAACTGACTTTCCATACCAACACGTACGTGACTTCCATAGCAACCACTGACATAACATAGCAACCAATCAGCACCACAGCAATAATTGATTTGCTCATAGATATACTTTCCGTAGTAAGCAGGGTCCTTTATATCAGCAAGAGACTTCCATAGCAAACATAGTAAACAATAACTTTCCATTGCCTCTAGTTACTTATATATTTACTGTTTATTGAATATTTTTAGCAACCAGTGGAAATCCATAGCAACCAGTTACATTCCTTAGCAATTATTGTATTTCTCATTAGCAACCAGCGAATCATAGCAACCAGTGACTTTCTTTAGAAACTATTGGATTTCCATAGTACCCATGTCTTCCAGATATTTTCTTCATTCGGAATTAGAAGAAACATTTTATGGAACATAGAGATGTTGAAATTTTAAATAAGAGGCAGTTTATAACAGTTCTCGTGTATTTATGTCTGTCCGATTAATAATCAAATAATAAATGTTGTATTTAACAAAATACATTACTTGATTCGTCTCTGACTTCAGATGGAGAAAGAATAATTTGTTACAACTGTAACGTACGGCCACGCTCAGAGGAAGGAGAAAATCCAGCAAAGCTTCATGCAGAACTGTGTCCAGACTGCAAATACGTGAAAGATAATGACCTTGTAGCAAAGGTATAATTAAAATATTTACTTCAAAAGAAAAGAAAATCATTGCAACTTTTTACGAAATAAATAAACGCTATTCTTCATTACAGTAATTACAGATATTATGTTCAAGTTTTATTCTTTTTATTTACCAAAAATAAAAGATCGGAAGGCGAAAGAAGTAGATTACAGAAAGAAAACAACAGAAATGTTATAGTTTCTTGACTTCGTTAAATAAAAGTTAAACAATGTTAAAACTTTGTTACAGCATCTGAATGAAGAGATCGGATTAGAGGGCGCAAGGGTATCTGGTGCAGATGGCAACTGTGCAAGGAATGGTTTGTAATTGTGTTAACATAGAACGATTGAAGAGATATTTTTATAAAAACAAGCAACAACAAAAAGGAAGTTAAAGTGGAGGTTAAGTCTCAAAACTCTTGTTTTAGTCAATTACAATGTACATGAATAATGTGGCCTGTCATAAGCATCATGCATTAAGAAGAAAACACATGAATTCTACATGAATTACGATTGCTTTTAAATTGTTTATATATATTTATATGATATCCATTTTAAAACTAATGATATCACTGTATCACACATCATTGTAAACATTTTATCTTAAAGCTTTGTATAAAGTAATTCTCTATTATTTCTCTATTATATTTATGTAATGTCTGAATTTGTTTACAAGGTTTATGTTTTCTGCAAATAATACTAGGTAAATTATGATTCAATATGTTTCTTTTATCCGCCCCGATATATAGGATTTCAATTTAATGTGTTGTTCTGGTAGATTATACAATTGTTGTCAAAAGTGTAAAGGAATACACAATGATTGTCAACTTTGATCTAAATGGCAATACAAAACTGTTTTGTTTTCGTTACAGGGACAACTTCATTCACCGGCCTACCTGGAAACATTTTGCCGAACGTTGGAACGTTGCCGAATCCACGTCTTTTAGATACAAACCCACGGGACAGATCTAAACGTTATAAAGAACTGGAAAAGAAGGCAACATGTATGAATTGCTCCAATGAAGCTCCTCCATATATCTTCATTCCGTGCAGACATGTGTTTTGCCCTGAATGTGCCGACGGACAAAGTCAGTGCATGAAATGCGGTAAAGCTATTAAAAAGATCGAATGGTTCTATAGAGGATAAAACTGCCCAGACGTCCTTATCCTGTTTAAGCAGATATCTTTCTTTGAAAGTAAACATACATGTAGTTATTTGAACATTTGAACAATGTAATGGGTTTTTCGCATTTGTTTTGAAAAAATCAAACAACAACAGAAAAATCCACAAAATACCCCAACAAAACAAGACAAAAACAAGCAAAGCTACAAAGAAAATAATATCCAATTGAAGTCGTTTTTATAATATATATTTTTCATTCCATGCTACATGTATCTAAATTGATAGTGGCTGACAAACTAAATACATTTTTAAATCACGATATATGCCAACATGGTGGACTCATGAGTAGACAGGACATTTCATCAATGCAGGTAGAAAAAGAGGGAGAGGTCGATAGCACGTGTGTTTGCACGAAATAAAAAAGTTCAAGTTAATCAATCCTTGGTGATCAATGAGAGCACTGAACACATACATACTTTGTATCTTACACTGACGAGTGCTTGGTCTTTTTTTGAAACGAGATCGAATGAAGTTTCAAAATCACTTATAAAAAAACCTTGAGGTAAAAAAGTGAGAGAATTTTTTTTTTCATTTACGTAAGGAAAATCTAAGGTTAGTTAATTGTGGTGTTAAACGAATATAGATATTACATTTAATTGTACTGGACTTGTAACTAAATATTTTTGAATAAAGCTTGAGCTTGAAATTGTAGCTTGTTTGTTAATTGTTTACTAGTATTCCTGTGTGCGATATAAGTGTCAGTCATAAGAACAATGGTGAAAACTTCTTACAGTACAATACAAGGTTGCAGCTTTGTCTGTTAACCTTATATGGTTTACATTATGACAAAAACAGTACTTATGTCGATGGTAAATAAAATCTCAATATTCAGCGAAGTCGGATGGTGTATCTCGTTATGTTCTTGTAAATCCAGTGAAAGCGAAGATTTTTCAGGATCAAACTCAAGCACATGGTTGTTTAAACAATGGATACGTCTTCTTGTTAAGCTTACAAGAGCTAAACTGCTTAAAAAGGGAAACAATTTGACATGTCTCGTGTAAGTGGGTCTGGTTGATTTTATGTTAGTTTTCAAATTATTGGCAAAAAAAAAAACCGTTTCAACAGTGAAGGTCAATGTGACTTTGACTTTGGCTCTGTGACCCAAAACTAAAATAACGCAAAAGTATGCACTCAATCGTCGCACACATCTCATTCAGAATCTCATTGTCTATAATGACAGAATGACTTATTCTTAAGTCAGAAAACCATTTGGTTATAAATAAAAAAAACAAAAAACATTTCGGTTTTCAAACAGATTTCAGGTAGTCAGGCATCTCAAGCCCGATTTATTTCGTAGCAGAAAGATCCGAGTGCATCAGGTACAGATAGACACACATCTGTTAAAGTTTTAAAACGTTGTACATAGACACCACATTTCCTGGAAAAAGAAACTTAAAAAAACCTCCAAAAACACCAGGTTACATACTGTCTGAGGTGAAATATTTTTCAAGGAAGTGAAAACTATTGAAAAGACTATATTCAACGACAAATAAATTTTACTGATGGTATTCCAATTTGCATAGGAATAAGTAACATTTACAGTTAAGCTGCTACCTTACCATTTTCAAATTTTCAAGTCAACATCTGATAGAGATTTTGATACGACAAATTACTAATACAGACCAAATTCTGGCTGTTGTCTTTCCTAGTAGTACTATTATATTAGTAACCTTAATTCTAGCGTATGACTTGACAAGAAAAAAACCTTTAACAATAGTAAAATTATAACCAAAGTTGTATGTACCCTTTCGTACATAACTGTTCATTTTTACCATATATTTTCCCATTTTTCCCATTTTGTTTTTCAATAAGTAAAATTTAAATGAGTCCAAATGTATGTATGTTGATTATCAATTTATGTATACCTTGTTTATTTTATGTCTTAGAAAGCCATCACTTACAAAACTTAATAAATATTCTGTGTAGTATTTCATGTACATAAAAGTAGTTCTCTGTTTTTGATCATATAGACAGCAAGTCTATGTAACAGCTATTGACAGCATATATACACATATTTTAGAGGTGCTATTGATTCAGTACAATGCATAAAAAGACCTAAACCTACGCCAGCTTACATATATTTAACAATAAAAGGCTAAATCACATCCTATGACTCAAAATATCTCCCCATGCAGGTAAACAGAGTTGCCAGGATATACTGTATATATATTTCAACATTAAAATGGGACAAATTCACAAGTTTTGGTTAAACAACGGAATTACCGATAGTGTGCTTTGCATTGTTTCGTGGTTATACACTTGGTCAAAAATATGAGTTTTTCTGCAACCCAACATAGTGGTGTTGTAAACCTGAGTCTGTCAAGTTGATGCAGTTACATTCTCAACGTCATGATGTACAGCATTAAACGTATTGTGTACGTTCTATCGTTTACATTTCTACATGTCGCAAATTTGAAGTTATACATTTATAAATACAGTTTGCAATTTATCTAAGTTGCATGTTAACAGCTTTCATTTTATCAAATCGAGATAATCAAAATGCTTAATACCAGTGCAGTATATGTAACTCTCGGATCGACAAATTAGATTTTTACTAATCTGTTTAGTAGAACCGAAGTAGGCCCCTATGCATTGTCAAGTTTCAAAGGCTGGATTTTTGGCAACGAATAGCCTCTATAGTAGGCCATCTTAGTACGGTAGTGGTAGTCCCACTAAATACCGGTACCTAGTTTCAGTCGAATATCCTTCATAGTATAGAATGTATGACTTTTAAAAAACTTAAACCAATGCGGACACGGACACACACTCGATCGTATAAGCGCTTTAACCCTATATGCGACCAGTGCAGATCCGGATCAGCCTGCACATCCATGCAGTTTGGTCAGGACATCCACTGTTCTCTTTTCAGTCAGAAATTCTTTTATGGCTATAAAATAGAAACAGTGGAGATCCTGATCAGACTGCACGGATGTGCAGGCTGATCTGAATCTGTACTGGTCGCATATGCGTTAAAACACGTATCTATGGAGTAAAGGATTAATATTTTCCTAGAATAGTTCAGCTACAAAAAAACCTAGTAATTTAGTTTTGGACTCCACATGACCCAGTTTCTATAGGGATGCTAAGCATCTTGACCAAGTTTAATTATGATTGAACCATTACTGTGGCCTCTTAGAGTGTTAAAACACTAAAAGTTGAGGACATCAGACTTGCGAAGACAGACATTCACCGATCACAATAGCTTCGGTGAGATAGAAACTTACAACACTTAAACTTCTTATTTTATTTTAACATTAAATTTAACACAAAAAGTCATTAAAAAGGAGATTCTTCCTCCTCCTGCGGCCAAACCTGGACACCACTTCCACATTTATACCTGAAATAGAGGGCATTTTTATAATCTTTAACGTTAATTTAAATTGAACCAAAAAGATTCTAAGATTTGAGCTAGTGACTTAATTTTTGACCCCTCATGACCTAATTTCGAACATGTTCTATATTTCATAGAGATGAACATTTACACTAGGTTTCATGAAAAATAGGCAAAAAATATGGCCTCTAATGTGTTCACATTCTTTTCTGAGATTTGACCTAGTGACATAGTTTCTGACCGCACATGACCCAGTTTTGAACTTTGCCGAGTTTCAGCTATACATTATGACCAAGTTTCATGAAGAAACGACAACTATAGCTCACCATGAACACAAAGCTACAAAAAGAACTGACAAAAAAATTTAAGCTGGGTTACATGGTGTACACTCTCCTCAAGAGCCTGGATCGGAGCTTGAGTCGGGATAGGAGCTTGAGCCTTGATAGGAGCTCGAGCCTGGATAGAAGCTTGAGTCTAGATAGGAACTTTAGCCTAGATAGGAGCTTGAGCCTGGACTTTTTAAAAATTAATAATTAAGTAGCACAACTTAACAAAGATTTCCAAACATATATTTTGATAGATAATACAGTAGGTTGTTTTAAATTCTATTGGAAAAAAATGATACTGAATTATGTTTTTCGTTTTTGTTGAAAACACATTATTTTCTCAAAAATCTGCTAGTAGTATATCAAACTAATCTTGCAATTATGGTTGGGAATCACGTTATATGGAGACCACATGACATGGTGTCGCAGCAATTGATAATCTTTCAGATTCAGGTGTCCGCCTGAGAAATCTTTGTCAATATCTTTTGTTTAACAGAAAATATTTTGTTGAGAGCATGTACAGTATGCGTAACTGACAGGAATTGCAGTAGCCACCAATTAAATTATAAACAATATTGTACTTTTTAAGGAGAATCCATCAATTTTAAGTTTAAAGGAGCATAATGCTTTTGTGAGTTAAATTTCAATTACTGAATATACAGATCATACTTATCCTCTTGTTGTAGAAAATGGCTCTTTTTCGCAGTACTATTCTTCAGAAATTATTTTTTTATCCAAACATACTATACCTCCAATTATTACATTTGCGCTACATGAGCGCAATATATATATAGCGTATTTCGAAGATTTTCTTTCATGTCTTTAACAAATCAAATGCAAATTTTTACATCAGAATTCTACTTGATGTCATTGGAGTTAATACAAATAAAGTTTACAAATGCATAATGGACTTTAAGATACCATGTTACGCGGTCACCATATCAATGATTCCCCACCATGTCAATGATAAAATACGCATATTAAGATCACAGAAGTGCAATACCCCTCATGTTTGGTATGGCTTTCAGAAAAAACGATTTTTTTGGCCTCAGGTTCATTTAATGTTGAGGCAATCATTTATGAAATTCCACTCATAATGTCATTGTGCCCGAATACCTTTTTCGAAGACCGTGTCTCGACCGCCTTTGCATCGAAAATGAAAGTACACATGTATAAACGGATGTATTCGTACGGAGAATTTTCATTGGTCGTGTGGAAACCTTAGACTAATGAAAATACTCCGTACAAAAAAAATTAAAGGAAACCACTCTGCAGATCCATTACTTGCATTACGATTTTGAATTTGACATAAAATTATCGGGAAAACGATTTGTTATAGTTTTATAATAAGATGTTTTTATTGAACAGTTATTACAAATAATAATATAATTTGATTAAATTTATATGCGCAATACAAAAAAATATCCGTTCATCTCGAATAAACTGCCGTTTTAAAAACCGGTCAAAGTCTATAACCCGGGACCCGGATTCCATAGTTTTGTCAAATTCCCGCCTGTCAGGAATGGTCTTCTGTCTAAAGCCCCGTGTATGCCCGCCGCCCCCCCCCCCCCGGACGGGTAAAACATTGAGACTTGAGGCCATTACTCTGACAAAGGAATGCATTCAATAACCATTACTTTGGGGTTTAGTGTGGTATCAGTACCAGTACCGTTACTTGATTTTGAACAACTAATGCAGTACTCTACCATTACATGGACCAAGTAATGCAGTATCATTACCATTACTTTCAAGCATGAGACATTTTTTGTCAAGTTAAGATCTTGAAATGATTACTTCTAACCGTTGAGAGTGGTACAAAAGGTTGGCAGCTATGTAAGAAATTAAAGTTTTTATTGCTTTTAACTGCTTAGGGTTGTTTGCTTTTATTTGAAGATGCACAAATGTTGTGATTTTTGCTTGATTATCTGCCTTTATAGATCTTTATCTTTATAGATGACTCAAGATATTCCACTCTGTGGTTTAACACTGTGT